CTATGGTGATACTCATTTTATTGTTGCCATTTTAACTATTTTCCAATACTGATATTATCAATTAGTCTGTTTATGAGACAAAGACCGCTTATATGAATATCATTTAAAACCTTCCAAATAGATTATTCTTAGTTGTTAATTGTATCCATGCTGTATTAGTCATTTAATAAACTCATTGGTTAAAATACCCTTTCAGGATGTTACTGTTATTGATATTCTGGTACAAAAATCAGTAGGGATGGCTAAAATGATCACTAATCGGGAATATTGTTGATAGTAAAAATGATTAATGAATGTCTTTATAACAATTGTGTTATGGATAATGTCATACATAAACTTTTGTGATAGAGAAAAGTTTTAATTTTCTCACACAATATGCAATTTAAGGACTTTATTCATGGTCTGCTTCTAAACTATGTTCAGGATGCTGCTTTTATTAACAATCCATGCAAATACATAGCACCACTCACCAGTGATATGAAATATATTCATTTCTTTCATTTTTGCTCAAAAGTTGCCTCTCCAATATTTAGCTATCGATATTTAGTTAACGATTATCGATTTCTATTATCAATAGCCAGCCCTAGAAATCAGTAGCCAGAGTAATCAATGTTATTTTGTAACAAGGTCTTTTTGCCTTTGTTAGAATCCAGAACACGGTCTATTTAATTTAGAAAGCTCGTCATGAATAGCTGTAATATTGCTGATGCGGGGCAAAGCACTAATTATTCATTCATTCTATATAAAAAGGTTTAGCATTTATAAGTGCCATTTATGTTACATGAAGGTATCAGTAGTTACTTAGCAAACTATTATTAGTAAATGCAAATCATTGCATTTATGTCACTTCACTTGCCATATGTTTGCACTAGCTCTACAATATTTGCACTGTTATTGCACTAGTTATACAACTTTTGCAATATTGTTGTACTAGTGTCACAACCTTTGCAATATCTTTTGCACTCAGTGGAACAATCTGTGCTGTATAAATTCATTAGTATTTGCAGAAGAGCAGTAAGGTTAAGGTAAACTCAACTTTACAATGGGGTTATTAACATCTAATAAATCTACCTTTTCTGTGATCGATATTCTTCAAGACTCATGACATTGGAATGTATTATTATGTCTGGTAGTTGAAAAGGAAAGTCTTTTTCTTTCATTATTTTTTTTCTGTTTATGAATAATGTGCATAATGCTATTTTATAGAATACCATATGTATATATGTTTGGTGAAATTAGTCTATTTTGCCTGAGAATGTATATATTTTGTGAAAGTGTTGATTTACCAATGCCTGTTGTCTATGTTATGTGTACAGTGATATAGACAAACCTCCAATAGCCAGGTAATCAAAGTATGCTGTATGTAGAGATCACCCAAATGTGATATGATCATACTTGATTGTGTAACTTGAGTATGCTGTATGTAGAGATCACCCAAAAATGTGATATGATCATACTTGATTGTGTAACTTGAGTATGCTGTATGTAGAGATCACCCAAATGTGATATGATTGTATTTGACTGTGGAACTAAAATACAGCAAATGAGTCAATTGTACAAATTCACTAATAAATGAGGTAATGAATCATATTTTGTTCTTGGCTTGGATTCATTGTGCATCTCGTGTGTATATCATGTGTATCAAATGTGCATCGTGTGTGGATCTCATGAGATTTAGCCTAGTGGGTGGGGTAGCCCTGTGCTGAAGAGTTCGATTCCCCACATGGGTACAATGTGTGAGACCCATTTCTGGTGTCCCCGCCCTGATATTGCTGGAATATTGCTAAAAGCAGGGTAAAACCAAAGTCACTGACTGATGTGATTTAAGAAGAAAACTTCCATTTCTTTACAGGTTACGTTTGCGTTTTAGTAGATCAACTGTGACACAATAACATGAACTTTTGCATGCATTTTGAAAAATCCTAAGTATATTTTATCATTCGTAATTTATGCTCTGTAACAGGGATGTTGTCAATTTATGCCATGACATTTCCGGCGTCTCTTTGACAAAACATTCCCATATTCAATACCTCCAAGAGACATCTTCTTCCCGTTTCCTACAATCAAAGACTGAGCAGTAGATTGATTCCTAATGTATATTAAATTGTATGACATAAAACCAAACTGGTCCAGTATTGATTATTTACAGACCGCCGCCATATAGCTCCAAAACTACTGAGAGGCTGAGAGCGGCATAACTACAAACCAATAGAAAATAATAGTATACAATAAAAGGATGTTTCAGATGGTTCTGAGTACCATGCAAACAGAGAGGTATATAATTAATATAAGATGTACCAAATTATATTATAAAATTTATTTTAGTACACGCATCATAAACTATCTAAATGTGAAGGAAATTACAAAAAAACAAACAAACACAAAAACATACAGAACGCAACTAACTAAAGGAAACCACAAACTGTTGGACAGTCAACTGTCATAATGTTCGGTGCTGTTTGATGTGAACAGGCAACAACCAAAACGGAACAAAAGTGGGGTCACTACAAACTGGTGGCAGTTGCACCTAAATAAAACACTCCATAACCATACGAAATATGTGTTGTAGGCAGTCAGCTGTACGATTCAGACCATTTCATAACCATGTGTTTATGAATTACAATCGAAGAATGTTCGCCAAACATTGAGGCACCGTAAGAGCGCATCATAAACCAGGGGCGGATACAGCTTTTTGAGAAAGGGGGTTGGGGGGTGCACACCCTGAAACCCCATCCCTCTGGATCCGCCTATGTAAACACATAAAAAGGCAAGTTATTTGTCCATTGGAACAAACAGGATCGTATGGTAAACGTCAAAATACGGAATCGCGTCGGTCTTCTTATTTGGCACTGATATACATTTAGAAATGTATTCCGCTTGTCTACCATAAAACGTTTTGAAACATTCACAAAGCTTTATTACAAACACATGTCAGACAATGTTTTGGACAAGTCAAATGGTTCTCTCTGAAATCTTCGTAGAAAAAAATGTAAGCTCGATTGTGTCTCAGAAATTGTGAAATGTAAACACCTAAGACAGAAGAATTTAGAATATTGCTCCATATCAAGTCTTGAGACTCATGAAGATCCGGGTCTGACTTGATCTTCAGTAACCCATGCTTCTCGTTAGAGGCGACTAACTGGCTCGGGCTCGCTGACTTGGTTGACACGTCATTGTATCCCAATGCCGTAGATCGATGCTCATGCTGTTGATCACAGGATTGTCTGATCCAAACTCGATTATTTACAGACAGACGGCATAAAGCTGGAATATTGCTGAGTGCGGCGTTAAACACCAACCGACCAACAGTTGATGTTCTGGCCGAGTTATTGCCTGTAGGTGTCACCTGTTCCATCAGGCGTCTCCTTACACTCCCGCTGCATTTGGCAAAAGAAAGGACAGCCTGCTGTCCACGTTTTATATGTAGAAATATTTTATCCGAAAATTAGCCTCGTGTGACATAACCGTTCATATTTTGTTCAGATGTATAAGCTGAATATTTATAACATTGCAAACTGAACTGTGCATATAAGACGAGTATATGGATGACAACTTCTTCTTTATTGTATAACACGACGTTTCTGGGTTTCTTCAGGTCACCTGAAGAAGGGACAAGAAGTAGCCCAGAAACGTCGTGTTATATATACAATAAAGAAGAACTTGTCGTCTATATACTCGTCTTATATATTCATCAACTTCTAAATGCCTCTCAAGAATCTGAACTGTGCATGTATGTCAATCGCTCAAAGGGCCACCCCAACGACTGCGCTAGGATCTGATCAGACAAGAGGATTTCTCTAACAAGCCCTGGCTATCCAGATATAAAACACACACACACTTGGTGTCTTCCCCTGTGGTACTCGCCGAGGGATTTACGTACTCAGTCGCGTCACTTATGTCTAAAACATCAACATCGTGATTTCAGAACCACGGAACAAAACATCAAAGTTGCAGGTACCTCAAACCATACATATTAGCGGTTGAGAACCGGACCCATCACTGTGACAACATTCCGTCTTGCAGCAAGACTGACACCCATGGCATCAGATCATGGTCGTAATGTACAAAGTATAATGTATATTGATATTAAAAATAAAGAAAAGAAAATACAGACTGAGCTCTGTCGGCGACAAAACAGGGCAGATTGAACTACTTGATGATGATGGCGTTTTGGAGATTTCACTTGCGCTTTCCGATATGATGCGTAATTCACACACGGGTCAATACCCGGTTTTACAAACTCTTTTTATTCCTCCATATAGTAGCGCCCTCTACCTCTAATAACCTATTTATATCTGGATTAGTACAAAGAGAATCGATTTTATACTCTACTTCACTCCCCATATGATTACAATGTGTAAAGCCCATTTCTTGTGTCCCGCGTCGTGATATTGCTGGAATATTGCTAAAAGCGGCGTAAAATCATACTCACTCTCACTCATCCGGGGGGACATGCGTCTTAAAAAAATTTGTTATTTGTGTAACGTGGATATTGCTGGTATTGTAAATTCGTTAGCGTTCGTTAGTTTTGTTTAAAGGATCGATTCTTCACGTACAGTGGAAGGCTTTCATATCAACTAAGAGGGCCGTTGGGTAGCCTAGTGGTTAATGCGTTTGTTCGTCACGCCAAAGACCCAGGTTAATTTCTTCCCATGGTTACCATGTATGAAAGCCCATTTCTGGTGTCCTCCGCTGTGAAAGTGCTGGAATATTGCTAACAGTGACGTAAAACGTTTTCATTCGTTCATTACTGCCTTGTATTTTTGGTGAATATGATTCTTTTACTCAAGTGGAGTAAGTCGCCATGAATTAAATTTGTTATTTATCACATAACTACGTATTCCTTGTACTCGAAATTAGTTATCAACGACATGATATTCCTTTTCTTCGAAGGACCATGATGGCGGACTGAGTCCAGATATCCCCGAAAGTAAACAGCTAACCGTATTTTTAGCGGCTACCTTACGAAGCGACGATTTAGAGTTACACCCCTTGGAAAATGTCAGCGCCCATGGGTTATGAAAAGGCAACAAACTGACAGCTGACATTCCGTGTGAATATACACTAAAAGTCACTGGAGTGCAGACCAAAACTCTTGTTAACGTGCCAGAGTTAGCTTACGGTAACTGTTATTTTGATTGGAATGCACAATTAACTCAACCATTGAGCACGACATAGCTGAAAAAACAACAAAGACTTGTCCATAATAGGCGCCCGACTCTATTCTTATACATATAGGTCATACTTATAAATATATCAGAGTCGGGCGCCTATGGACTTGTCAAACCAGGGGAGTTACGAAACGCGGTTTCGCTCTGTGATCAGCTGTGTGCGTAATCTTAAGCATATAGTGAATGGGGAGTACTGCATTTTACCGGGCGCACTTTTTCAGATTAATTACCGCTGCTGGGCTTCCCTAACCCTAACCCTAAGGATCGTAAAGGGTGCCTAACCCTAACCCTAAGGATCGTAAAGGGTGGCATACCCTTAACCTAAACCCTAACCCTAAGGATCGTAAAGGTTGGCATACCCTTACACTAAACCCTAACCCTAAGGATCGTAAAGGGAGCAGCGAGGTTGAACCGTTTACAAACACATCGGCTCATAAAACGACTGACCTATCGTCTGCTTATATGTTTTCGGACGTCGTTATATTTTCGGATGTTAGTGTTTACACTCGCTGTATCGAGGCGAGTATAAATCATTGTGGCCCTGCAGGGAGGAAAATTATGATAACAAGAACAAGATGTCCCTATGATAGACTATAGAAGTCTGGTGCTCATCTAGACTTGGCTATCATAAGGATAGAATTACAAATCATCCATGATCCCACATTCTGTACAGCAAAGCGTAAGGGACCATGTGAGCAACAATGTCATCACCACACTTGCAGTATTGACAATGCGTAAATCTGAGAGAAAAAGCCAAAGGATCAATAAACATTTTTTTCATCTATTTCAGGTAGTGTACAGTGTTGAGGAATAATGACAGGCTACCATGAATTTGTGAAGAGGATTTATGAGAATTCTGACATCACTAGGTCACCAGCAGATGACCGCAATTATCGATGTTTGGAACTGACTAATGGGATGACAGTATTCTTGGTCAGTGACCCCAACACTGACCGGTCAGCTGCTGCACTTGATGTCCATGTTGGCAAGTACAAACAGTGACAACATACTGATCCATATATGCAGTAACAATAGCTTCTTCGGAGCTGGATACTTGTGAGCCTTCTAGTCTTTACATTAAACTGTCACTTGCGGGTCCTAGTGAAAATGGTCACAAAACATCCAAGTCAAAATGGCCACAAAAAAGTCAAAATGGACCCAAACCCCTAGTCAAAATGGCCCCAAACCCCTAGTCAAAATGGCCACACCAAAAAGTCAAAATGGCCATAAAAACATCAAAATGGCCACACATTATTTTTTATATTTTGTTAATACTCATAACATTTTCCCATGTTGTATTATTTGATATCAAGGTGTAGAAATGACAAAAGAAGTTATATCAGACAAAACTTGATGTTTATTACACATCAACAAATCATATTTTCAACAAATAAAAAGACTGATAAATGTAGGATTTTTCTTCATGTACATGCACTTTTTGTATTTGGTATATTTATATTTGTTAATATAATAATACTTCTCCAAAGCAAGAAGTATTTTCAAAACCCAGACCTCACATGAAGATGACCTGAAAAGTATAAGAACAATTAGAATAAACACAGAGATTAACAATTAATTGATCAATTATGGCTTAATTAGTTAACGAGGCACTTCTGGATTCACAGCTTAATTAAGGTTACACAATGTATGTAATCACATGTTGATTAGTAGTTAACGAGCCAGTTAAAGGATAAGTGGTCATTTTTTTAATACCTATGCATCTTACCTTCATCTTCACTTGTGACTCCTGAAGTTTACCAGACTCTATGGGATGGGAGGTTAGGTCCATTCTCCCCTTTTCTTTTTGTTCACAATAAACATATAACCATTTACATGTATGTATCTTCCACTATGAGAAGTAGGAAGAAATTTATTGTGCATTTGCCATAACTGAAGTTGTGGAAATGATGATGAAAACTGTCAGTTCCAACATTATTAAAGCATGCAAGTTTATGTAAGCAATTGAATAACTCACTACAAATGAATTGAGTGAACTAAACTCACTCACTAACCCGCTGGTTCACATGTCAACCCGCTTGAACATGTTATCAAAACACTACCCAATGATACAGGGCTTTGAAATAACATCTGAAAGTATTAATTAAGTAAACATTGCGAGAGTATTTGGTCTACTCCCATTTGTGAGAACTCCCAATTGTGAGACTCCCAGTTATGAGACAGTGGAGTAGGTAATTAAGGTCTACTCCCATTTGTGAGAACTCCCAATTGTGAGACTCCCAGTTATGAGAAAGTGGAGTAGGTAATTAACAAAGAAAACACACCATACTCCCCTGTCTGATAGAATGGATTAACCCTAGCTAATTACTGATTTGGTGTCCTCCCATTTGTGAGAACTCCCAGTTGTGAGACACATTAATTAATGGTTCAGTGCACATAGGTGGTGTTTCCACATCCCTACAATGAAAGTGGGATCAGCCCAGGATGAAATAGATTATCAAAGATTATAATTAAACAGAAGAAATAATTCATTGAATATTTTATTTATTCAGAAGAACATGTAATTATGATAACGCATTTTTATTGACTGTTATGAAGTTTGAAAGTCATTTTGGTTTAAGCATATTTTATTATTTTTTATGAAAATGAATTGGGATTGGTGAAGTATTAATGCTTATGTTAACACCGCTCCCATGCAACATAAAATATAAAATGAAATATAATTTTAAGTACATATATATATATATACAGATTACATCAAATACAACTATTTGCTAAGTAGTCATAATTAGAGACTTGCAGTTGTGTGTGTCTAACAAGCTATTGTAGGAATATAAATCAATCACCAGAAGGTTGTTGAGTTAATTTCAGTATTTCCCTGTGAAAATTTGAAGGTTGTGTCTTGATGACATGATCATGGACGGATTCAACTTTTTTCTGGTGTACACAAGGAGTGAATTCTTTGTTTCCGTTCAAAAAATTATCCAGGTTATAACGGGTAGTTGTTACCCACAAGAGCAACATGCACTGTCTATTAAACGTCTGTTATACTTATCGGCGTTTGGGTCGCTATATCCGAGCCTGAGGCAGCAGTGAACGATTTGACAAAAACAAGAGCCATAATTAAGATCAATATAAATCTTGTTTTCAGTTTTTGTAATTAGGTTTTAAAATTCTTTGAGACTGCATGACTCTTTGGAATTTGGTAGGGCATTCCATAAATTTATTGTGTCGGGTAGAAAGGGTTTGGCATAAGGGGCATTTCGACTGTAAATTTCAGAGTTATTTCAGAGTTATTTCTTAAACTATAGAGACAGAGACGGAGTAAATCTGAGTAGGTAAATTGATTTCTCTTTGATCACGAAGTTACCTACACAAAGTGTTTAATTATTAAAGACATTTACCTGAGTATGTTAATCAATTTATCTTATAAAGTTTCATTAGGTTACCTCCACAAGATTCAGCTACATAGCAAATCAGTAATTAGCTAGGGTGAATCCATGCTATCAAACAGGGGAGTATGGTGTGTTTTCGTTGTTAATTACCTACTCCACTGTCTCATAACTGGGAGTCTCACAACTGGGAGTTCTCACAAATAGGAGTAGACCACTGATTTGCTATGTAACTGAATCTTGTGGAAGTCTTAATGAAACTTTAAAAGATAAATTGATTAACATACACTTTGTGTAGGTAACTTCGTGATCATTGAAAGAGAAATTAATTTACCTACTCAGATTTACATCCGTCTCCAAAACTACAAGATATAGTTTAAGAAATAACTCTGAAATACAAGTTTACAGTCAAACTGCCTCTTATGCCAAATCTTTTTTACCCGGGCACTACCCGTTATAACCTGGATACCATTTTGAACGGAAACAAAGAATTTACTCCTTGTGTAAACCAGAAAATAGTTGAATCTGTCCACGATTATATCATCAAGACACAAGGCTTCAAATTTTCTCAGGAAAATACTTAAATTAACTCAACAACCTTCTCATGATTGATTAATATTCCTACAATAGCTTGTTAGACACACACAACTGTAACTCTCTAATTATGACTACTTAGAGAATAGTTGTATTTGATGTATACTTAAAAATATATTTATGCAATAGTCAATATCGATGATGTCACATCCTCCATTTCATTTTGTATTTTATGTTGCATGGGAGCGGTGTTAACATAAGCAGTAATGCTTGCTCACCAATCCCAATTCATTTTCATAAATAATAATAAAATATGTTTAAACCAAAATGACTTTCAAACTTCATAATAGTCTATTTCTTCTGTGTAAATAGAATCTTGGATAATCTATTTCATTAATCTACTCATCAATAACTCCTTTGGGTACTCTTCAACAACTGGGCTGATCCCACTTTCATTGTGGGGATGTGGAAACACCACCTATGTGCACTGTTAAACAGCTCAATGTATTACATAAGAAAACAGCTCAAAGTACAGGACAAAAAAAAACATCTCAAAATTAAATAAGTAACAATCTCAAAGTATCATGTAAGAAAGCATTTCACTAACAATACTCATTGATATGAAAAAAAATAATGTATGGCCATTTTAACTTTTTCTTTGGCCATTTTGACTTTTTGGTATGGCCATTTTGACTGGGATTTGTGGCCATTTTGACTTTTTGTGTGGCCATTTTGACTAGGGTCAGTGTGGCCATTTTGTCGTGTGGCCATTTTGACCTGTTCCCTCACTGGCAGGATACAACTGAAAAATGAAAATAATACCCCAATAATGCAATTAGCAGTCTCTTCCAAAATGTGCTATACCTATTTTGTTGTCTGTATATACAAAGACTTCATTTGATTTTCTTGTGTATTTTTTTTAGAAGATCATGTAAATATATAAGTACATTCAGTTCGAAATCTGGGTAGCATGTGGGATATAAGGTTTTGCCTGTGACTAATATTGTTGTTTGTTGTTGCTAGGCAATATGAGTGACCCTGAAGAGCTGCCCGGCCTGGCTCACTTCTGTGAACACATGTTGTTCCTGGGAACAGAAAAGGTACAGTCATAGACTCACACATCATAGACTTGCACATCACAGCATGCCTATTGACACCATTGATAACTATTTCATGAAACAACTTCAGATGTAAGAGCAGTCTAAGTAAACTTAGGCTCAATATTCGTTTCACTGCTATACTGAGTCTAACAAACCCTAGTAGAAGGTCGCATCAGCTAACCTTTTGGACTGACCAATCAGAACACAGCTTACCAAATCGCGAATGTTAACATTCGAACATACCGTTTGAACCTTTGCCTAAAAAAACCTTGAATGATTCCGAATGCTATTTTCCGCACAGTCGCTTCCGAGTGATACACATGAAGGATGCAGTGAGTAAACAGTTGCTGAAAAAAGTGTATTTGTCAATATTCCACGATGTCATCTTGCGGAAATATAAGTTAATAGTAACTATATCATCAGAAACCCCTAAGCGTATATACTGCAGGTCAAATATCAATGTATTATGCAGATTTTTGTTTGGTGATAGATCAGTGTTAGCGACCAGGGAAGAGAAAATCCCAAAACCGCTTTGTAAGTCCCGCCCAACCCTGACAAGTAGTCGTTGTCTGATTGGTTAAATGCATTCGTCCGTCTCGCATTTGATTGGACGGTCATAGTTCACTCAAAGGTTAGCTGATGCGACCTTCTACTAGGGTTTGTTAGACTCAGTATAGCAGTGTAATGAATAATACTGAGTCTAAGTTTACTTAGACTGGATGTAAGAGAAGATTGTATTTGATGTTTAATCAATGATAATGCTGAAGATGCTGATGCTGATGCTGATGATGATGCTGATGATGATGCTGATGCTGATGATGATGATGATGATGATGATGATGATGATACAAAATATATGCACTAAGATCTAAAACACATGAGCAGTTATAATGATAACTTTACAGTTGATCTTCCTTCTAGCTGATCATGATTTTTAATAAACTTTGTCTACTGCTGGTGTACAGTGACATCTGTAGGCTGAATAAGGTTTATACCTGCCTGCCTGAGTTGGTTGTTTCCACACTTACTGAATAACGGTTTTGTTGTGAGATAAAACATTGTAATTTCAATAACATTCAACAAGATTTTGTCTTTCATAGTCAAAGTATGTTTTTGTTGTTTTCCAGTTCCCAAATGAAAATGAGTATGGGAAAGTAAGTATTACAACATTTAACATCAGCAGTGACTGTTACTATGTCATATTCATTGGTGTATTACACAGATTTAAAAAAAATACCAATGCTACAAACAACCCCTTAAACATAAATAAACACTAAATTTAGACATGAGATAACTGACAAAACAATGAATGTTCTTAAGCATGGGAAAATCCATAACACAGAGATATTTATTATCATACAAAATCATTCAAACAGTATTTCATTTGTATATGGCTTTAATTAAATTTTGAGTACCATTATTAATAAATATATGTTGTTTTTTTAAGTTCCTGAACGAACATGGGGGTGGCAGCAATGCCAGCACCTCCACAGAACACACCACATATCACTTTAATGTCGGACCAGAACATCTTTCTGGAGCACTGGACAGGTGACATGTTACATTATATTTTTAACTGGAGTGAGTGAGTATCGTTTTATGCTGCTGTAGCAATATTCTATCAATATCGGGGCAGGGGACACCATTAATGGGCTTTATGTATGCCTATGGTCTTCGATGTGACAAGAGAATGCTTTGTGCTATCCTTTTGGCTACCTGACTGTCCCTTTAACTGCAGTAATTCAATGCTTATCACTTATGTATGTATCAATCACATGGCCTTAGCTAATAATGATAGCAGGTAAGATTAGGCCTCCAGAAACCTCGCTGAAATATTGGAATGTGGAGTTAAACAACAACAGCACATATATTTTTCGTCTGGTTTGCGCGGGAAAGGGCAAAGGGAGGTAACTCGTGGGTGAGTGTATTTATATGTCTGCTTCGGGAACTTCAAGGTATTCAAGTGTTCCACTACCATTCGAAAGGGAAAAGAAGATCGCAAAAGATCATGAGTCAGGATAAGTATAATAATATCAATTTTACTTAAAAAATTACGTTTTAATTGATTCAGATTTGCTCAGTTCTTTCTGTGTCCGCTATTCACGGAGTCGGCAACAGAGAGAGAGGTGAATGCTGTCAACTCCGAGAATGACAAGAACGTGAAGAATGATGCTCGGAGACTGTACCAGCTGGGGAGGATGTTGTCAGACCCACAACACCCCTTTGGAAGGTTTGGCACAGGTGGGGAGATGGGCATTTTGATGAGCTCCAATATGAAGTTTTTCTGCAAAAGTTATTCATTATCATGTGTTTAGAAAGCAGTCAGGTTGCTAAGCAAACAAAGTGGGTTTTGGAATTTGGGGAAAGAAACATTTGAGTGTTGACAGAACATCGAAAATGTCAGCTTTATCTGTTTTTTATTATGTCAAATACCATTTAGCCAGTGGTTTTCTGATTCCCCACCGACAACTGTCACGTGTTGAGATGTATGATTTTCTGTGCAGGTAACAAAGACACCCTGGACGTGATCCCCAAGCAGAATGGTGTTGATGTCCGGGCAGAGCTGCTCAAGTTCCACGCAAGGTTCTACTCTGCCAACATAATGCAGCTGTGTGTGGTGGGGCAAGGTGACTGCTTCTGTTTTCCGCAGGGAGGAGTGAGTGAGTGAGTGAGTTCAGTTTTACGCCGCACTCAGCAATATTCCAGCCATATGGCGGCGGTCTGTAAATAATCGAGTCTGGACTAGACAATCCAGTGATCAACAGCATGAGCATCGATCTGCGGAATTGGGAACCGATGACGTGTGTCAACCAAGTCAGCGAGCCTGACCACCCGATCCTGTTAGTCGCCTCTTACGACAAGCATGGGTTACTGAAGATCAATATTGTAACCCGGATCTTCACGGGTCCCGCAGGGAGGAGGATAGATTGTCATATACACTGGTGCTGTTGCCTCAGTGTAGAAGCTCTTATATCACAGAAGACAGGGTTGACTTACCAATGTTTCCATATTCCTGTCTGCTGAGATGAGTAAGGTTCAGGAAGGGCAAGTGGCACTTCCTTACTGTATGCAGTTTCATGGATAATATTTACGAATCCTAACAGTTCCGATGGGTTTTACCTTCTTGCTTCTTTCAATGAGACATTTTGGTACATATGTTAGTTTTTAGCAAGCGACCAAGTTAAATCCCTTGGCTATTGGCTGGTTGTGGAGTAGCATTGTTGGTTGTTGGGTAGGGTTGGGTGGTTGTGGGGAAGGGTTGGGTGGTTTGGGGTAAGGTTGTCTGGTTGTGGGGTAGGGTTGGGTGGTTGTGGGGTAAGGTTGTCTGGTTGTGGGGTAGGGTTGGGTGGTTGTGGGTAGGGTTGTCTGGTTGTGGAGTAGGGTTGTCTGGTTGTGGGATAGGGTTGTCTGGTTGTGGGGTAGGGTTGTCTGGTTGTGGGGTAGGGTTGTCTGGCTGTGGGGTAGGGTTGTCTAGTTGTTGGGTATGGTTGTCTGGTTGTGGGGTAAGGTTGTCTGGTTGTGGGGTAAGGTTGTCTGGTTGTGGGGTATGGTTGTCTGGTTGTGGGGTAGGGTTGTCTGGTTGTGGAGTAGGTTGTCTGGTTGTGGGGTAGGGTTGTTTGGCTATGGGGTAGGGTTGTCTGGTTGTGGGGTATGGTTGTCTGGCTGTGGGGTAGGGTTGTCTGGTTGTGGAGTAGGTTGTCTGGTTGTGGGGTAGGGTTGTTTGGCTATGGGGTAGGGTTGTCTGGTTGTGGGGTAGGGTTGTGGAGTAGGTTGTCTGGTTGTGGGGTAGGGTTGTCTGGTTGTGGAGTAGGATTGTGTGGTTGTAGGGTAGGGTTCTCTTGCTGTAGGGTAGGGTTGTGTGGTTGTAGGGTACGGTTGTCTGGCTGTGGGGTAGGGTTGTGTTCTGGGGTAGGGTTGTCTGGTTGTTGGGTAGGGTTGTCTGGTTGTTGGGTAGGGTTGTGTTGGGGTGTAGGGTTGTCTGGTTGTGGGGTAAGGTTGTCTCTCTGTGGGGTAGGGTTGTCTGGCTGTGGAGTAGGGTTGTCTGGTTGTGGGGTAGGGTTGCGGAGTAGGTTGTCTGGTTGTGGGGTAGGGTTTTTTGGCTATGGGGTAGGGTTGTCTGGTTGTGGGGTAGGGTTGTGGGGTAGGGTTGTGTGTTTTTTGAGTAGGGTTGTGGAATTGGGTTGACTATTTGTGGGGTAGAGTTGTCTGGTTGTGGGGTAGGGTTGTCTGTTGTTAGGGTAGGGTTGTCTGGTGTATGGGGTAGGGTTGGGTGATTGTTGGGTAGGGTTGTGTTGTAGTGTAGGGTTGTTTGGTTGTGGGGTAGGGTTATTTGGTTGTGGAGTAGGGTTGAGTTGTGGAGTAGGGTTGTCTGGTTGTGGGGTAGGGTTGTCTGGTTGTGGGATAGGGTTGTCTGGCTGTGGGGTAGGGTTGTCTAGTTGTTGGGTATGGTTGTCTGGTTGTGGGGTAGGGTTGTCTGGTTGTGGGGTATGGTTGTCTGGTTGTCGTGTGGTTGTGAGAAATTGATTGTTCGCATTGAAAATACATTTTATTTTTTTATTTTTTTATGCTGTGTTGCTAAAACAATGAAAACACAGAGTGGAGTGATTTATTATGTTGTCATCTTCATTGAGGATAATGTGTGTTGTTCTGACAGAGTCCTTAGATGAATTGAGAGAGATGACTGTCAGACTGTTTTCTGGTGTGGAGAACAAGAACATCCAAATCCCAGAGTGGCTGGAACATCCATATCAGGCAGAACAACTTCAGGTATAACATCTCCTGCATGTAGATAGTGTCAGGATGTTCTCGGGTGTGGAGAACAAGAACATCCAAATCCCAGAATAGATGGAACATCCGTATCAGGCAGAACAACTTCAGGTATAACATCTCCTGCATGTAGATAGTGTCAGGATGTTCTCGGGTGTGGAGAACAAGAACATCCAAGTCCCAGAGTAGCTGGAACATCCATATCAGGCAGAACAACTTCAGGTATAACATCTCCTGCATGTAGATAGTGTCAGGATGTTCTCGGTGTGGAGAACAAGAACATCCAAATCCCAGAATAGCTGGAACATCCATATCAGGCAGAACAACTTCAGGTATAACATCTCCTGCATGTAGATAGTGTCAGGATGTTCTCGGTGTGGAGAACAAGAACATCCAAATCCCAGAATGGCTGGAACATCCATATCAGGCAGAACAACTTCAGGTATAACATCTCCTGTATGTAGATAGTGTCAGGATGTTCTCGGGTGTGGAGAGCAAGAACATCCAAATCCCAGAATAGCTGGAACACCCGTATCAGGCAGAACAACTTCAGGTATAACATCTCCTGTATGTAGATAGTGTCAGGATGTTCTCGGGTGTGGAGAACAAGAACATCAAATCCCAGAGTGGCTGGAACATCCATATCAGGCAGAACAACTTCAGGTATAACATCTCCTGCATGTAGATAGTGTCAGGATGTTCTCGGGTGTGGAGAACAAGAACATCCAAGTCCCAGAGTGGCTGGAACATCCATATCAGGCAGAACAACTTCAGGTATAACATCTCCTGTATGTAGATAGTGTCAGGATGTTCTCTGGTGTGGAGAACAAGAACATCTAAATCCCAGAGTGGCTGGAACATCCATATCAGGCAGAACAACTTCAGGTATAACATCTCCTGTATGTAGATAGTGTCAGGATGTTCTCGGGTGTGGAGAACAAGAACATCCAAATCCCAGAGTGGCTGGAACATCCATATCAGGCAGAACAACTTCAGGTATAACATCTCCTGTATGTAGATAGTGTCAGGATGTTCTGGGGTGTGAGAACAAGAACATCCAAGTCCCAGAGTGGCTGGAACATCCATATCAGGCAGAACAACTTCAGGTATAACATCTCCTGTATGTAGATAGTGTCAGGATGTTCTCTCGGTGTGGAGAACAAGAACATCTAAATCCCCAGTGGCTGGAACATCCATATCAGGCAGAACAACTTCAGGTATAACATCTCCTGTATGTAGATAGTGTCAGGATGTTCTCGGGTGTGGAGAACAAGAACATCCAAATCCCAGAATAGATGGAACATCCGTATCAGGCAGAACAACTTCAGGTATAACATCTCCTGCATGTAGATAGTGTCAGGATGTTCTATAGGTGTGGAGAACAAGAACATCCAAATCCCAGAATAGATGGAACATCCGGTATCAGGCAGAACAACTTCAGGTATAACATCTCCTGTATGTAGATAGTGTCAGGATGTTCTGGGGTGTGGAGAGACAAGAACATCCAAATCCCAGAATAGCTGGAACACCATTATCAGGCAGAACAACTTCAGGTATAACATCTCCTGTATGTAGATAGTGTCAGGATGTTCTCGGGTGTGGAGAGCAAGAACATCCAAATCCCAGAATAGCTGGAACACCCATATCAGGCAGAACAACTTCAGGTATAACATCTCCTGTATGTAGATAGTGTCAGGATGTTCTCGGTGTGGAGAACAAGAACATCCAAATCCCAGAATAGATGGAACACCCATATCAGGCAGAACAACTTCAGGTATAACATCTCCTGTATGTAGATAGTGTCAGGATGTTCTCGGGTGTGGAGAACAAGAACATCCAAATCCCAGAATAGATGGAACACCCGTATCAGGCAGAACAACTTCAGGTATAACATCTCCTGTATGTAGATAGTGTCAGGATGTTCTCGGGTGTGGAGAACAAGAACATCCAAATCCCAGAATAGATGGAACACCCATATCAGGCAGAACAACTTCAGGTATAACATCTCCTGTATGTAGATAGTGTCAGGATGTTCTCGGGTGTGGAGAACAAGAACATCCAAATCCCAGAATAGATGGAACACCCGTATCAGGCAGAACAACTTCAGGTATAACATCTCCTGCATGTGTATGTAGATAGTGTCAGGATGTTCTCGGGTGTGGAGAACAAGAACATCCAAATCCCAGAATAGATGGAACATCCGTATCAGGCAGAACAACTTCAGGTATAACATCTCCTGCATGTAGATAGTGTCAGGATGTTCTCGGGTGTGGAGAACAAGAACATCCAAATCCCAGAATAGATGGAACATCCGTATCAGGCAGAACAACTTCAGGTATAACATCTCCTGTATGTAGATAGTGTCAGGATGTTCTCGGGTGTGGAGAACAAGAACATCCAAATCCCAGAATAGCTGGAACACCCGTATCAGGCAGAACAACTTCAGGTATAACATCTCCTGTATGTAGATAGTGTCAGGATGTTCTCGGGTGTGGAGAGCAAGAACATCCAAATCCCAGAATAGCTGGAACACCCATATCAGGCAGAACAACTTCAGGTATAACATCTCCTGTATGTAGATAGTGTCAGGATGTTCTCGGGTGTGGAGAACAAGAACATCCAAATCCCAGAATAGATGGAACACCCATATCAGGCAGAACAACTTCAGGTATAACATCTCCTGTATGTAGATAGTGTCAGGATGTTCTCGGTGTGGAGAACAACAACATCCAAATCCCAGAATAGATGGAACACCCGTATCAGGCAGAACAACTTCAGGTATAACATCTCCTGTATGTAGATAGTGTCAGGATGTTCTCGGGTGTGGAGAACAAGAACATCCAAATCCCAGAATAGATGGAACATCCGTATCAGGCAGAACAACTTCAGGTATAACATCTCCTGTATGTAGATAGTGTCAGGATGTTCTCGGTGTGGAGAACAAGAACATCCAAATCCCAGAGTGGCTGGAACATCCATTATCAGGCAGAACAACTTCAGGTATAACATCTCCTGTATGTAGATAGTGTCAGGATGTTCTCAGGTGTGAGAGAACAAGAACATCCAAATCCCAGAGTGGCTGGAACATCCGTATCAGGCAGAACAACTTCAGGTATAACATCTCCTGTATGTAGATAGTGTCAGGATGTTCTCGGGTGTGGAGAACAAGAACATCCAAATCCCAGAATAGATGGAACATCCATATCAGGCAGAACAACTTCAGGTATAACATCTCCTGTATGTAGATAGTGTCAGGATGTTCTCGGGTGTGGAGAACAAGAACATCCAAATCCCAGAATAGATGGAACACCCATATCAGGCAGAACAACTTCAGGTATAACATCTCCTGCATCTGCATGTAGATAGTGTCAGGATGTTCTCGGGTGTGGAGAACAAGAACATCCAAATCCCAGAATAGATGGAACATCCATATCAGGCAGAACAACTTCAGGTATAACATCTCCTGCATGTAGATAGTGTCAGGATGTTCTCGGGTGTGGAGAACAAGAACATCCAAATCCCAGAATAGATGGAACATCCGTATCAGGCAGAACAACTTCAGGTATAACATCTCCTGTATGTAGATAGTGTCAGGATGTTCTCGGGTGTGGAGAACAAGAACATCCAAATCCCAGAATAGATGGAACACCATTATCAGGCAGAACAACTTCAGGTATAACATCTCCTGTATGTAGATAGTGTCAGGATGTTCTCGGGGTGTGGAGAACAAGAACATCCAAATCCCAGAATAGATGGAACACCGTATCAGGCAGAACAACTTCAGGTATAACATCTCCTGTATGTAGATAGTGTCAGGATGTTCTCGGGTGTGGAGAACAAGAACATCCAAATCCCAGAATAGATGGAACACCCGTATCAGGCAGAACAACTTCAGGTATAACATTTCCTGCATCTGCATGTAGATAGTGTCAGGATGTTCTCGGGTGTGGAGAACAAGAACATCCAAATCCCAGAATAGATGGAACATCCGTATCAGGCAGAACAACTTCAGGTATAACATCTCCTGTATGTAGATAGTGTCAGGATGTTCTCGGGTGTGGAGAACAAGAACATCCAAATCCCAGAATAGATGGAACACCCGTATCAGGCAGAACAACTTCAGGTATAACATTTCCTGCATCTGCATGTAGATAGTGTCAGGATGTTCTCGGGTGGTGTGGAGAACAAGAACATCCAAATCCCAGAATAGGGAACAACTGTAACACCTCCCTGCATTATCAGGCAGAACAACTTCAGGTATAACATTTCCTGCATCTGTATGTAGATAGTGTCAGGATGTTCTCGGGTGTGGAGAACAAGAACATCCAAATCCCAGAATAGATGTAACACCCGTATCAGGCAGAACAACTTCAGGTGTAACATTTCCTGCGTCTGCATGTAGATAGTGTCAGGCTGTTCTCTGGTGAGGAAGACAAAACCATCCATATCTTAAAATGACTGGAAAATCTGTATCAGGTGAACTTCTGCGTCAAGTAAATTTATGAATATGCAATTTGCTGTGAGTCAGAAAACCACCAAGCTTTCACATTAAGGACATGTGTTTGCAACCCATTAGACTGTCAGATGGGAGGCTAAAATCACACTGAGATCCTATGCATGTGATTCACATTCTTTAAACAGTACCTACTTATTTATGACAGAAATCCCGCATTTCTCTGCAGTTTAATAGGTAGAACTAGTCTTCCGCAACCCATGCTTGATGCAAGAGGTTAGTCATAGGATCTGCTGGTCAGGGTCCTGGCCCCGATTTCTCGAAACAAACAAGTCTGAGTTTTGACTTAAGTTAAAGTTTTTACTCAAATTTGAGAAAATGCATTTTGATGCATGTCAGAGTAGATAAGCTGCTTAGAGAATGATCTGAAATTGATATTAAGCTCAAACATAGTAAACAATTGAGTTTGGTGGATAGATTACTTAAGTTGTTTGGGCTTTTTTATTTATAAAATGCAGTTGAGTTAAGAATTCAGCTGTTTCAAATTGTCAAACTCAGTTTAATACCCACTCCATTTGAGTAAAAAATCTTAAGTTTGTTTTAGTCATGAAATCAGGGCCAGACTTGGTTAATGCATGTCACAGTATCCCAGTTGCATAGATCGATGCTCATGATGTCAATCACTGGATTTTTTAGCGTAGATTGAGAGATTTACAGACCTCGTTCATATACAGTAGCTGGAATACTGCTGAGGGCAACATTAAACAGCCTGACCTGATTGATGCAAGTCACTAGAAAGTCCATGACCATGAGTCTAAAGCTGATGATGGACACAGTAACATGTGCAGTCACCTATGGTTTCAATAAGGCAACACCTTTAACATTAACAGAAGGTGTGGCCAAATAGTTGTACCATATAATCTGCAAGACAAACTAGTGCCATTTCTTTATGATACTTCTTGACAACGGTTCAAGACTCTGTGTCAATACATCACACTCATGAAATTACGAAGTTGTTATCCATAAAGTGTGTCAATTTTGTACTTCCCAACTTCAAAAATGCCACTCAAAGAAACTTGGAATTGTGCTTTAGCAAACAGAAACACGAATAAAACACAGCCCTGTGTTGTACAGTAAACTTCTACCCTGTGAGGTGCGATAGGGTAGCCCGGTAACAGAGTATACCCCTGTCCCAGAGACTATACCCGGGTTAAACTGGGCTGAAGACCGGGTATAATCTGGTATAATCTGGTTTGATTCTCCACATTGGTACAATGTGTGAAGCCCATTTCTTGTGTCCCGCTGTGATATTGCTGGAATATTGCTAAAAGCGGCATAAAACCATACTCACTCAGTCACTCTACCCTGAGATATTTATGCCCATGTCATCTTCTGTTGTGTACAGAAGAAGATCTGTGTGGTGCCAGTGAAGGATGTCCGCTCCCTGACCGTCACCTGGCCGATACCGGACGTCACCCAGTACTACCACTCCAAGGTAAATTCACAGGTTTTGTTATGTGGGGTTCAATATGAAGAGATTTTATGCCATAGAAATACAGGATTGTTTCGAATATACAGTGCAAATATCCAGCTGAACATAATGTTCAGAAGTCTTGTAAGTCTTGTACTTGCCATCAGTAACCTTGTCTCTGCTAGTAGTATTTTGTTGATACTGTCACTATGCTAATTATTATTCAAATACACTAGAGTATTACTGACCAGTACATAACCTTTCGATTACCCTTTGCTTGCCCTTGAACCCTAATGGTGTGGAGACTGCCTCTGTGGTGTAGTGGTTAGAGCGTCCGCCCGGAGTGCGGAAGGTCGCAGGTTCGATCCCCGACCGCGTCATACCAAAAGACGTTAAAATATGGTACTTGTTGGTCCCTGCCTGGCGCTCGGCATTAATGGGTACAACAAGGACTGGTCGGCTCGGAGTCAGTATAATGTGTCTGAGTGGGGTATTCGTGCTTCACTGCGGTATGGTATCTCAGTGGGCTAGCACTATAAAACCAGCTTAAGTCTGGGCTAGTACAAGCAGCTGCACCTACACATACACACGCATGCACGTCGTCATATGAGCGAAATATTCTCAAGCACATCGTTAACCCAATTTCACCTCACCTCACCTCCATTACCCTTTGCTTGTCCTTGAACCCTAATGGTGTGGACTCATTATATTAACCACTAATTTGTTTGGGTCAGACTTGTTTATTCTATTCTCTTTGGTAGTAACCAACATGCACTCACTGTTATGAAACTCTGGTAATGAATCATTTTCAGCCTGCCAGTTACCTGAGCCACCTGCTTGGACATGAGGGGCCAGGCAGTCTCCTGTCTCAGCTCAAGTTGGAAGGTTAGAACATTCCTAAGAAATAATTCATTGGCCATGGATGTAACTGGGACAGTTTGTCTGTGGTTTTATTGTCTATCAGTCAGGCTTGTGATATACCATGATAGTCCTGTGACACAGCATAAAAATTATATGACAACATAATAATCATCTGACATGAGAAGTCCTATGACACAACATGAAAATCAAGTGACCATCTATGACAATTGTGTTACCCAACATGGCTGCAAGTTTAAAGCACATGTCACTGTGATCTTGACCTATCCTTTGAACAATGAACTTTTTTGTTACTTTACATCTTTATGTTTTGGCTTGTTGTTGATCAGCAACTTCTGAAATATTACACACAGGAAATTACGTAAGTTATTAAAGGCATTGAAATGACAGTGTTTGGGATTGTTTTCTAGGTTGGAGTAATTCCCTGACAGCTGGCAGGAAGAATGGCGCCAAAGGATTTGCATTCTTCTACGTCAAAGTGGATCTCACAGAAGATGGCCTAGGTACGCTTACTGTGTGTATATCTTGTGTGTGCATTTTGAGTGAAGAATGAATTAAGAGAGGAAGAGAGGTCCATGGGGAAGAAGAAGAAGAAGGGAGGAGTGATAGTAAAGAAATAAAGAATAAATTAAGGAATGAAAGAAAGATTTCAGGATTAAGGGGGACTGAAGTATGAATAGAAGTCAGTAGGGAGATGGACATGAGACAGAGGCAATGAAGAGGAGGGGGTGAGACAGTGATGAAGGGTGATGTGTGAAGAGAGGAATGACCTCAAAGGGGGCAAGGATGGATGAAGGAAGTGAGAGATGAAGGGAAAAGAGTAGGTGATGAAGAAAGGAATGAAGGACATGAGAGGGAAGGATGAAGGGAGGAGAGAGGTAGCCAGGGAAGGAAAATGGGAAGTGGTGAGGTGAGGTGAAATTGGGTTTAACGTCGTGCTTGAGAATATTTTGCTCATATGACGACGTGCATGCGTGTGTATGTGTATGTGCAGCTGCTTGTACTAGCCCAGACTTAAGCTGGTTTTATAGTGCTAGCCCACTGAGATACCATGCCGCAGTGAAGCATGAATACCCCACTCAGACACATTATACTGACTCCGAGCCAACCAGTCCTTGTTGTACCCATTAATGCCGAGCGCCAGGCAGGGACCAACAAGTACCATATTTTAATGTCTTTTGGTATGACACGGTCAGGAAACGAACCCGCGACCTTCCGCTCTTCGGGCGGACGCTCTAACCACTACACCACGGAGGTGGTCAGGGAGGTAGTGAGGAGTAAAGGGATGGAATGAAGAATGACTGAAGACAATAAGGAGATTTAGGGATGAAGTAAGTGATAAAGGGGAAGGTGAGACTAATGTGATCTTGAGATATGACGTGTATCTCCACAGAGCACACGGAGGACATAGTGACCCTTGTGTATCAGTACATACACCTGCTGCAGAAGGAGGGAGTACACCCGTGGATACACGATGAGTGCAAGGTCAGTCGGGAGCGTAGGGAGTACCAACAATAGGTCCAGAGATCTGGAACTAGTCTTGAGACACTGGGAGTAGTATGAACAGTACATGGAATTGTGAACTCACTGATAGTGTTGGATCATACGCCAGCTTTCATCTTTACACACTTCATCCATTCAAGTTGTTCTGCTTTCCGTAAGCTGTTGTGCTTTAAGTGAGTAAGTGAGTGAATATGGTTTTACGCCACTTATAGCAACATTCCAGCAATATCATGGCAGGGGATACCAGAAATGGGCTTCAGACATTGTACCTTGTGGAGAATCGAACCTGGGTCCTCAGCGTGACAAGCGAACGCTGTTACAACTAGGCTACCCCACCACCCCTTGTGCTTTAAGACTTGAAGTAGTTCACTGGCTTGTTACGTAGCAGGTTTGGGTTTGATTCCCCACATGAAAACAATTTTACACATTGAATGGTTGTCTGCCATGTCAGCTGTTTTGGCTAAAATATTCTGAGCAAAATAAACATACAAGTGTTCCTCTGTTCTTTTCCAGGTTTCTCCCCATGCTTTGTTTTGCACTGTGTGTGAATATCTGAAAATAATTTGAAGTGTTGAAGTGTTGTGGTGAATGTTAATAGATGACACAAACACTCTTTTGTTCATGCTTTTATGTTAGGACTAAAATATACTCACCTATACGGTAACACAGGGGTGGTGGGGTAGCCTAATTGTTAAAGTGTCCGCTCCTCACGCTGAAGGCCCAGGTTCGATTCCCCACATGGGTACAATGTGTGAAGCCCATTTCTGGTGTCCCCTGCCGTGATATTGCTGGAATATTGCTAAAAGCGGCGTAAAACCATACTCACTCACTCACTATAAGGTAACACATGAGTCTACGAGGGTTCCTTTTTAAGTTTCCAGGTTTCTTCACAAACCTGGTAGTGCACTTTGGGTTAAAATTGGAAAATACATTAAGAAACATTGTGATGCAGTGGTGTTCCCTTATTTGTTTCCCTCAGTATATATGAATGTTAATAGATGAAACAAACCCTGTTTTTTCCAAGCAGGATATTCTATAATAATATCAAACTTTATCAGGAGAGCAATGTACTCCGTGATTTGTTGATTGACATTATGTACATTAGTTTCATACATACTCGAACTCTTTACATATGATGTTTTCTCCTGTGTTACCATGGTTACAGAAACTGAAGAGCCTACGATTCCAGTTCAAGGACAAGGAGACTCCAAACAGTTATGCGACATCTCTAGCTCGGGACAACCATGTAAGTTGTAGGTGTTAATCGTAGAACATGGACAGAAATGTTTCTTATCAGTGATATGTTTTCAAAGTCACTAGGTTTTTTCGTCTTTTTTCATTGCTGACAGAAAACTATTGCACCCTGATGAAAAAACTGGTGCCATGTGTTTTGCAGATACCTTTTCCGTTCAAATCTGGTAATTACTGGATACTTGTACCTGGTAAAACAAATATTGTCTCCTCTACGCCTGATGACACTTCCCACTGCCATGGAGTAGCTGTATTTTTGTCAGTCTAAAGTTAGGTTAATTGTCATTCTCACCAGCTACATGTTTAATACTTCACAGTCTTGTATGCACCACTTTCCTCCTTCACTTGGGAGTATATACAGCTGTTATGTGTGAGTCTGTGTGTGGGTTTGGATGGATGGATGATGGATGGTCAGATGGATGGATGGATGGATGGATGGTGGATGGATGGATGGTCAGATGGATGGATGGATGGTGGATGGTCAGATGGATGGATGGATGGATGGATGGATGGATGGGTGGGTGGGTGTAATGGATGGATTGATGGATCAGGGGCGTAACTACCATTATAAGCTCGGGCTTACACATGATTTTTTGCTAAAGAGGTTGGACAAGCCCTCAATACTATCTAAATATAAAGCTTGCAACATATCGGGCTTACACAAACAAATTGGCTTGCTACGCGCCTGTGGATGGATGGATGATGGATAGATGGGTGGGTGGATGGATCGATGGATGGATAGAGGCTGGCTGGCTGGCTGGATTCAGAAGGAATGGAGAAACATGGTGTATGTACAAATCTCTGAAGTGTCGATAATGATCATACTGATGCTGTTAATGGTCAGGTGTGATGAATCTACATTAACAACCTCTACAGATATATACAATCGAAGAGGCCTTGTCTGGACCTTACCTCCTGTCAGAGTTCGGCCTGATCTCATCCAGATGCTCCTGAACAAACTGACCCCAGAGAACATGAGGTAGAGGTTCCACCAAAGTCCAACATCCATCACTTTGGGCTTTCCCAGCTCACAGCATGTCATAGCTGCAACACTCCATTCACCCCAGCCACATCATAGTAGGGGTATAACTGCAACAGTGTTTTTTCTTCCAGCCGCATCAGAATTATATATCATGTGCTTCCGGCACGTCCAGTATTTCCATATGTGAATCTGAGTTTAAGTCTTCGCTTTGACTGGGGCAGTTAACTTCTGGGTAGCCTAGTGGTTAAAGCATTGGCTCCCTTTCTTTGTCAAGTACAGATTCTAGAAGACCATCCGGTTCAATTACACACAGATTGACATGGGCCGGTACAATGTGTGATTCAAAGCCCATTTCTGGTGTCCCCTGTCCTTAATATTTTGAAACTGCTGGAATATTGTTAAAGGCGTTTCAAGATGGACAGAAGTTAAAATGTAAATTCAGTCATTACATTTTCAGTCAAAGTTCATCTTTACAAGTCACTTTTGTTGGGTTGAGTCCCATCAGGGATGGCGATTAGGTGCCTGACTCTGAGGGTATGCCCAAATATAACATAATCTGTTGTCCATCTTGAAATGTCTCTCTTGAAAGTTCTAAGTTTGGTTCCCCATACAGGTACAATGTGTGAAACACATTTCTGGTCTTTGTTGCCATGATATTGCTGGGATATTGCTAAAATAGTGTAATTCCATACTCACTTGGTCATTCACTGATGCAGAAAAATTTCTTGTGAAATGGTAACCAAAATGGTCCACTATAAATGTTCATTTTCTGCAGGGATTTTCCCAATATGTCGACTATCATTGTACAGTGTTCTACAATGTTTCACTATTTCACTCCCTCGATTTGGCTTCAGTGTGATGGTAGTGGCCAAGAAGTCACGAGGGAGACACGAATTTGTCAGAGAGGTGGTATGGAACCCGTACAAGGTGGAGCCCTACTCTCAAACCCAGCTGAAGGTAAATGTCATGATCGGGAACTGTCCAAGTTATTTATTTATGCTGAAAATTGTTAATAATTCCAGAATTGTTTGCTTATCAGCATCAGGTAAATGTGGTTTTAGCTTTTATCTGCCATAATATTGTGATTCAGTGTTGCGATCTATGAATATTAAATGTGTAACCCACAATTAAATGTCACTAGGCCTTCCAGTATTTTATTAGTCTAAGACTTGTGTATGTCAATTTCACTCACTGATTTGGCAAGCACTATATGTATTCGTGTAGATTTTGCTAAAGCGGTAAGCCTCTAACACTTGGCCACTTGACCCATGAAGATCCGGGTTAGAATTGGTCTTCAGTAAACCATGCTTTTTGTAAGAGGTGACTAACGGGATCGGGTGGTCAGGCTCGCTGACTTGTTTGACACATGTCATCATATCCAATTTGTGTAGATATATGCTCATGCTGTTGATCACTGGATTGTCTGATCCAGACTCGCCGCCATATATCAATCAATCAACTTCATTTAGTGACTTGAGGATGCTGTTTTGAATATTCAGCAATAATATGAAGCTGCTGACAAAATTGTTTTTTTATTTCAGCACTGGAATGACTCTGGTCTCCATGACAACCTGCATTTACCAGACGTTAATGAGTTCATTCCAGAAAATCTTGACTTGGTTCCAAGGCAGGAGGTCTGTTTGACTTATTTTCTGAATTAAAGAAGCTATATTTATCATGTACTTTGAACTTAATGTTGAACATGTTTATTTTCTGATTATGAATGTCGTGTGAGTATGATAATTATGAGCATCAGGGTGGGGGGTCCAGGATTTTGAAAAATAGGGAGCAAAACTAGCATGTCACTGAGGACTCAGGGTTTCCACATTAACGGAAATGAAATACACACAGATTGACATGGACGGTGTCTGAATAAAAGTGGGGATTCATAGGCGGATCCAGGAGGGGGTGCAGAGGTGCGGACCCCCCTTTTGTCCTGAAAGTTTATTAAATGACCATTGAAACTTGGGTGAAAATGAAGTGTGCACCCCCTTTTCTCAATAGTGAGCATTCCCCCTTTCTCAAAAAGCTGTATCCGCCTCTGGGGATTCCAGGTTTGAACAGGTTCCCTAGAAACCTATGCTAGAAGGCAGCCAAATGGATCAGATGGTCATTTGTGATTTGTTTGATAGGAAGTCCAGGTACCACATGTGCAATGGCATTAATTGTTGCTCTCAATATCAATCACTGGTTCATTAAGTCAAGGTTTACCTAGCATTGTGATGCAGCTGGGATATTGCTGTGTGCGGCATAAAATAACACTCACAATTAATGCCATCCCTACTGGATTACCACTTAGCTTTGTTAGTCTTGTTACGATTGTTATGATTATTATTATTATTGTTTCATTGCTACAGGTGACTCAGTTTCCTGTTATGATAAAGGTAAGTAGCATGCATTTTCCTTGTAAACTGAAATTTTAATATGTGATTGGAAATGAAAAATTAAATTTGGATGTAACAGTTAAAGAAACATGATTTGTTCACTGCTGACACTGTGATTCCTTCTACTCAGACAATATGATAAAAAGCTTTGGGCTTTGTCTTCCAGATTAGTTCAAGAAGGTTTTACAATCTGTTCTTGAATGAAAATTTATACTCCCCCCCCAATTGTATTAATTCAAACAATATACTGAGGCCCCAGTGAACAAACAGTAAATTGGTTGTGGCCAAAAGTACCTTCTCTTGTTTGTTCACACAAAGCGATACAATGTTTTTTCTTACCCCTGAAAAAGTTGGACAAAAGTGTATTCCATAGATAAGCCGACCCCTTTCTTCAGACTGCTATTTTTTGGTCCTCAAAATAGGGTTTATCTAGGGTTAAAAATGGTGTTTGAAAAACAGTGACTTAGTTTCTTTTCTAGCAAATGTACAAAAATTAAGTTAATTGTACAGTGATGTTTAGGATAGAAACTGACAAGTGACAAACACATGTTTACAATAAATTTCTTCAGTTAAGGAAGGTTGTATGCTTCCCAGGGAGTTGAGATTGATAATACGACATGCCGTTGAGATTGACATCCAGTGATCGAGGGAAAAAACAAAGTTCTTTTGAGCAGCTGAGCTGGATATTGACGCTATACAAATGTTAGTATGTATGTATGTATGTCTACATGCAGTCTGGTAATTTCCAGGGGATATGTGGAATATGTTTTGCCATTTTCAGAATGACAGCCTGACAAGATTGTGGTTTAAACAAGACAACAAGTTTCTGCTTCCAAAGTCCTACATTTCTCTGCAGTTTTATAGGTAGGTCCAGGCTAGAATTGGTCTACAGGAATGAGGCGGGAAACAGAATTGGGTGATCATTCCCACTGACCTGGTCCATGCATGTCATGATATGTTGATTGTGTAGACCAATGCTCATTGGATATTCCTCCTATATTATGTTACAGAAATTATGTTCAAACCAACATTAAACCCAAATCCTCTCTCTAATGGTAGTAATGAATTATGTGCAAAAACTTCCATGTCTCATGTTCCTGTCATTTGATACTTTAAGACAGGAAGCTTTACAGTGACCCTCAGCGAGTGAGTGAGTGAGTATATTTTAATGCCCTTTTAGCAATATTCCAGCAATATCATGGTGAGGGACACCAGAAATGGGCTTCACACATTGTACCCATGTGGGGAATCGAACCTGGGTCTTTGGTGTGACGAGCGAACGCTTTAACCACTAGACTACCCCACCTCCCCCACCCTCAATGAAGACCTCTGTGACATTGCCTTCAGCTGTCATGTTTTTGTCCCAGTCCAGCGGCCTACTCTGATCCTGGATGTGTGTGTATGCTGTCACTGTTCGTGTCCCTGATGAACGATGCCCTGACCGAGTACACCTACTCCGCTGAGCTGGCAGGACTCTCCTACTCCTTCAGTAGCTCCAGGGATGGCTTTGATGTAAGTACTGTAACCATGGTAACTGTAGTACACCTACTCCGCTGAGCTGGCAGGACTCTCCTACTCCTTCAGTAGCTCCAGGGATGGCTTTGATGTAAGTACTGTAACCATGGTAACTGTAGTACACCTACTCCGCTGAGCTGGCAGGACTCTCATACTCCTTCAGTAGCTCCAGGGATGGCTTTGATGTAAGTACTGTAACCATGGTAACTGTAGTACACCTACTCCGCTGAGCTGGCAGGACTCTCCTACTCCTTCAGTAGCTCCAGGGATGGCTTTGATGTAAGTACTGTAACCATGGTAACTGTAGTACACCTACTCCGCTGAGCTGGCAGGACTCTCCTACTCCTTCAGTAGCTCCAGGGATGGCTTTGATGTAAGTACTGTAACCATGGTAACTGTAGTACACCTACTCCGCTGAGCTGGCAGGACTCTCCTACTCCTTCAGTAGCTCCAGGGATGGCTTTGATGTAAGTACTGTAACCATGGTAACTGTAGTACACCTACTCCGCTGAGCTGGCAGGACTCTCCTCACTCCTTCAGTAGCAGGGATGGCTTTGATGTAAGTACTGCTAACCATGGTCACTGTAGCTCCAGGGAGGACTCTCCTCATACTCTTAGCTCCAGGGATGTAAGTACTGTAACCATGGTAACTGTAGTACACCTACTCCGCTGAGCTGGCAGGACTCTCATACTCCTTCAGTAGCTCCAGGGATGGCTTTGATGTAAGTACTGTAACCATGGTAACTGTAGTACACCTACTCCACTGAGCTGGCAGGACTCTCCTACTCCTTCAGTAGCTCCAGGGATGGCTTTGATGTAAGTACTGTAACCATGGTAACTGTAGTACACCTACTCCGCTGAGCTGGCAGGACTCTCCTACTCCTTCAGTAGCTCCAGGGATGGCTTTGATGTAAGTACTGTAACCATGGTAACTGTAGTACACCTACTCCACTGAGCTGGCAGGACTCTCCTACTCCTTCAGTAGCTCCAGGGATGGCTTTGATGTAAGTACTGTAACCATGGTAACTGTAGTATGGTACCTGTAGTACCTACTCCACTGAGCTGGCAGGACTCTCCTACTCCTTCAGTAGCTCCAGGGATGGCTTTGATGTAAGTACTGTAACCATGGTAACTGTAGTATACCTACTCCGCTGAGCTGGCAGGACTCTCATACTCCTTCAGTAGCTCCAGGGATGGCTTTGATGTAAGTACTGTAACCATGGTAACTGTAGTACACCTACTCCGCTGAGCTGGCAGGACTCTCATACTCCTTCAGTAGCTCCAGGGATGGCTTTGATGTAAGTACTGTAACCATGGTAACTGTAGTATACCTACTCCACTGAGCCGACAGGACTCTCATATTCCTTCAGTAGCTCCAGGGATGGCTTTGATGTAAGTACTGTAACCATGGTAACTGTAGTATACCTACTCCACTGAGCTGGCAGGACTCTCATACTCCTTCAGTAGCTCCAGGGATGGCTTTGATGTAAGTACTGTAACCATGGTAACTGTAGTACACCTACTCCACTGAGCCGGCAGGACTCTCATACTCCTTCAGTAGCTCCAGGGATGGCTTTGATGTAAGTACTGTAACCGTGGTAACTGTGAGTGTAGTACACCTTCTTCACTGAGCTAGCAGGACTCGCATACTCCTTCAGAAGCTCCAGGGATGGCTTTGATGTAAGTACTGTAGCCATAGTAACTATAGTTTATATACAGTTGCACCTGGCCAGGCTTTCAATGTTTGAGGATAGAATTTTTCTCATAATTGCACATGTGCTCTTCAGCAATTCTCACATCTGAATATCAAATATCACTTTGTGTTACTTCATTGATGAGACAATATCAGTGTGATGTCATCTGTTGTTTATGATAACATTGTAACACCTTATTTAGGAAAGACTTTCTGCACGGTTGACTTTTTCCAGCTTTTTCTTCAAATGATACTTAGAAATATAAAGAACAACCAACTTGAAAGTCTGACACACTTAATCTCTGCCCCTCATGAGTGCCTTCTGTATATCTCTTACACCTCCCCTCTCTCCTCCAGATCTCCATCAGTGGCTACAGTGACAAGCAGGACATCCTCCTGGAGAAGATCGTAGAGAAGATGACCAGCTTTACTGTCGACCCTGTCAGGTTCAACATCAAGAAGGAAAAAGTAGGTCAAAAGTCTGCCTTGTCCTTGTCGATGTTGATACTTGTAGATACTCACTGACTGATGGGAGAGAAATCATACATTGAAAACCTGCCTTGAAAACTTGAAAAGGAGCAGACGGTCTGGGTTTTCTGTGTCTGTTGATGAAGTTCCTAATGTCCAGCATTTGTGAGGGGGGAAATCATTTCTTACCATTTATTTTTATTTATGCTGCCATTGGCATACTGGCAGCAATACTACTTCACAGATTTGTATATTTTGCATGTTTCCTGGGAAAATAGATACATATCACTACTACACTGCACACTGACCCAATGTATTGTAGAGTCTTGAGCCTAGATTTCCGAAGCTCTCTTAGCGCTAAGATAGTTGTAAGTTAATGTTAATGAATGGCACTTACGACTATCTTAGCACTAAGAGAGCTTTGAAAATCTAGGCCCTGGATACAAAGTGTATTCATACCCAGAAAGTATTGTCACCATATGTAGTTCACTCAGCTGATTACTGAAGCAAAGCCAGCTTGCAGATTAGTCAAAGTGGGCGAGTGAATATGGTTTTACACCACTTTTTGCAATACAGTTGTGACACTAGAATGGGCTTCATGCATTGTACCTCTGGTTTGTGAGAAGGCTTTAACCACGGGGCTAAACCCCCACCCCCAGGGGTACATTTCTAGTATGACTGGTAGAAAGGTATTTGTAGGGCCCCTCACTAACACAGTAGAACACTGTCAGGTGGAATTATTCACTCCACTCCAGAACTGAACTGTTTTCAGCTAGAGAGGTCGTACCGGAACTTCATGGCGGACCAGCCCAACCAGCATGCCACCTACACCGTGTCGCAGCTATTGGCCAGTGTGTTCTGGACGAAGGAGGAGTCACTCCTGTTCTTGCAAGGTGAGTGAATGAGTGAGTGAGTGTGTGAGTGAGTGAGTGAGTGAGTGAGTGAGTGTGAGTGAGTGAGTGAGTGAGTGAGAGTGTTGATGCCACTTGTGATGCTGGAGATGAGTTTGTGAGAGTGAGTGAGATGTGTTTGTTTGTTGTTTGTAAATAATTAAGTCTGGACCAGAAAATCCAGTGATCCACAGCATGAGCTGTCGATCTATGCAATTGGGATACAATGACATGTTGGTCAACCAAGTCAGCGAGCCTGACCACACGATCATGTTAGTCGCCTCTTACGACAAGCATGGGTTGTTGAAGACCAATTCTAACCTGCATCTTCACAGGTCAAGTGGTCAAGTCTTAGAGGCCAACCGCTTTAGTGAATCTGACCTCCCGATAACATTAGTTGCCTCTTACGACAAGCATGGGTTGCTGAAGATCTTTTCCAACATGGATCTCTTTCAGATGTGACCACAGTGAGGTTGGAGGCCTACATCCGTCAGTTGCTATCCCGCCTGTATATAGAGGGTCTAATCTATGGAAATGTCACTAAACAGGTGTGTATTTAATCTAGGAAAAACAGTCAGGAATTGATTGATAATAAAGATTGTTTTGTACAAAACTGGACAAGTGCAACTGGCTAGAACTGAAGTCATCAAACATTAGCATACCAACTTCCAAAAGTGAAGTCAGTCCTGACATACAATATAGTTAAAGGCTTGTGCATGTAGGGAGCCCTGGAGACGGTGGCGGTGGTGGAGAGGCTGCTGAAGGAGAAGGCAGACACACAGCCTCTGTTGCTGAGTCAACATGTACACTTCAGGGAGATGCAGCTGCCCTCAGGTCAGTATGTGTGTAGCAGACGCTCTAACTCTGTGATTCTGGGACTGTAGCTTTGTAACTCGGTAACTCTGCAATTGAGTGCAAAGAGTGTGAATTTTTGGGAACTGTGACCCTTTGTCTGTGACTCTGACTCTTTGTAATTCTGTGACTCTGTGGTTCTTTGGTTGTCTGATTGTTTGATTGGAGCTTTGTGACTAGGACTATGTAACTCTTTGATTGTAACTTATCCTCCAAACTCTTCACTGGCTTCCTGTATCAAGCAGAATTCAATACAAACTTCTTCTTACACACAGCTGCATCTATGAAAACATGTTTTCTCAATATCTTAAAAGCCTCATTCATCTCCATGTTCCAAGCCGATTGCTCCGCTTGTCAACCTCCCTACTGCTTACACAGCCTCACGTCAAAACAGCCATGGGATCAAGAGCGTTCTCTGCTGCAGCCCCCTATCTCTGGAACATTCTACCACTCGCCCTAAAAGAAATAGAATCTGCTGACGCTTTCAAAACTGCCCTCAAAACTCATCTTTACAAACTCTCTTTTCCATAGACATTGTCTACAATCTTTTCTCTTTATAGCGCCATTGAGCAATATTTTTTGGTAATATGCGCTCTATAAATCAATTATTATTATTATTATTATTAACTCTGTCACTCTGTGTCTGTGACTCTGTAATTCGTGACTCTTTGGCTCTATGGCTCCAACTACTCTTTGACTTGACCTCTTGACACTTGGCTCTATGGCTCCAACTACTCTTTGACTTGACCTCTTGACACTTGACTCTTTGGACCTGCGACCCTTTGCTTGTGACTTTGTAACTGTTAAGCTTTGACTCTTTGATTGAAGGTCGGTGACTCTGTGGCTCTGTGACCCAGTGACCCTTGAATGTTTTGCCCTGTGACTCCTTGTCTGTGACTATTTGACTCTTTGTACTTTAGTGGCTGTGACTCAGTGGCTCTTTGCCTCTTTTGCTCTGTGACTGATACTCTGCGAATATTTCACTCTGACACTGGACTTGATTCTACAAATGGTTTCAACAGTGAGATGTATTAATGTTGTATGAAGCCATGAACAACACTATCCCACTCATACCTGCAATTTCAATCTATTTGCCACTAGGGTTGCAACGATTCACCCAGACCTCGATTAGATTCGATTTTTGATATTGAACCCTCGATTTGATCATTTTCGATTCGATTCTACATACAAGTAAAAACATCCGATTTCATTTAACTCTCTGAGGGGACTTTTTTAGCCTGAATTTAATCGTCAACTTGGCGATGTCTACTAACAATAATTTTCACTGGATAATTACCCCGGTGTCAACCAATCTAGTTTCGCCTTATTTCAGCGCTCGAAACTGCTCAAGTTGGAGTCAAAATTATGTTCTGGCTGTGTGGAAATAATTTAAATAGGTGTTCAAATATCGAATCAAAATACTGATAATGGTTATCGAAAATTGAACCTAACGTGTCAGATTCGATTTTCGATGAATCAAACCGAATCGTTGAAGCCCTATTTGCCATGTTTACTTCAGACTCGTACCACCTGTACCAGATGACCAACTCTGTCCACAAGAGCTGCTGTGTGTGTGTGTACTACCAGATAGGGATGCAGGACACACGGTCTAACATCCTGCTGGAACTACTGAAACAAATCATCGGAGAACCAGCATTTGACACACTCCGTACCAAGGAACAGTTAGGTAGAGCTTATCCACCATGACTGATCACGGCAGACTATATAGATAACTGACTCTTAACCTTTTTGTTCACTATTGATGACCCACTAAGTGACCTTTATTTGATATGTAATGTGGTAAAGCTGTTCTTCATTCAGTTAGTGAACATATTTTATCATTGTGACAGAATGTCTCAACAGCATGTCATATACCTTCGTAACAACAGAGGGGCGGGTGTGGCCTAGTGGTTAAAGCATTCACTTGTCACGCCGAAGGCCCAGGTTCAATTCCCCACATGGGTACAATGTGTGAAGCCCATTCTGGTGTCCCCACCGTGATATTGCTGAATATTGCTTAAAACGGCGTAAACTCAACTCACTCACTCACTCACTGATAACAACAGAGTCTGGTTAAGACACCTTAATATCTCCTCATGGTATATAGAAACAATATTTAATTCTTTTTTTTCAGTTCAGATTTCTGTTATTTCTTAAGTACTGCTGATGATTCACTCACTCACTTTGCAGGGTACATAGTGTGGACTCGGGTCCGGCGTTGCTATGGAGCTCAGGGGCTGAGGGTTCTTGTACAGTCTGACAAGTCCACCCAGTTTGTTGAAAGTAGGATCGAAGCCTTCCTTCATTCCATGGATGTAAGATATGCTCTTAAGATCCTTTAACCATCTCATCCATGTAAGATATGCTATAAAGATCCTTTAACCATCTCATCCATGTAAGATATGCTATAAAGATCCTTTAATCATCTCATCCATGTAAGATATGCTATAAAGATCCTTTAATCATCTCATCCATGTAAGATATGCTATAAAGATCCTTTAATCATCTCATCCATGTAAGATATGCTATAAAGATCCTTTAATCATCTCATCCATCATCCATGTAAGATATGCTATAAAGATCCTTTAATCATCTCATCCATGTAAGATATGCTATAAAGATCCTTTAATCATCTCATCCATGTAAGATATGCTATTAAGATCCTTTAATCATCTCATCCATGTAAGATATGCTATAAATCATCTCATCCTTTTCCATGTAAGATATGCTATAAAGATCCTTTCTCATCTCATCCATGTAAGATATGCTAAAGATATGCTAAGATAAAGATCCTTTAATCATCTCATCCATGTAAGATATGCTATAAAGATCCTTTAACCATCTCATCCATGTAAGATATGCTATAAAGATCCTTTAATCATCTCATCCATGTAAGATATGCTATTAAGATCCTTTAATCATCTCATCCATGTAAGATATGCTAATCATCTCATCCATGTAAGATCCTTTAATCATCTCATCCATGTAAGATATGCTATTAAGATCCTTTAATCATCTCATCCATGTAAGATATGCTATAAAGATCCTTTAATCATCTCATCTCATAAAGATCCTATTGTAAGATATCATTCATGTAAGATATGCTATAAAGATCCTTTAATCATCTCATCCATGTAAGATATGCTCTAAAGATCCTTTAACCATCTCATCCATGTAAGATATGCTATAAAGATCCTTTAATCATCTCATCCATGTAAGATATGCTATTAAGATCCTTTAGTCATCTCATCCATGTAAGATATGATATAAAGATCCTTTAATCATCTCATCCATGTAAGATATGCTATTAAGATCCTTTAATCATCTCATCCATGTAAGATATGCTATTAAGATCCATCCTTCATTCCCAGGATAAAAGAAAGTAAAATCTATTCTGCAATTACAAATAAAAACATGTGTGAAGTAGTGAATGAATCTTAAATGGAAATTCTAAAAGACCTTTATCCCTGGTGTTGTAATCATACAATCTGTAAGACCTTGAATATCTGGTATTGTAACTATACAATCTGTAACCTCCTAATATCATAAATCACTGGATTGTCTAATTCAGACTGAAATATAAAGGCCCACTGTCATATAGCTGGAATATTGCTGAGAGTAAGATTATACAACGCGCATAGACGCGACGCCTACGCGACGCGCACGCACGCGACGCGACGCGACGTGCGACGCACACGCGACGCGACGCACTTTTACGCGACGCGACACGATGCGACGCGACGCTGATGCGACGCACACGCGACGGACGGACACACACACACACGCACACACACACACACACACACACACACACACACACACACACACACACACACACACACACACACACACGGACACAGGAGAAAGTGAAATATTTAGTGCATGATTTATGAGATCTCTCATTGTTTCAGAGTTACATTCAAGACATGAGTGAGGAGGACTTCAAGAATCATGTAACAGCTCTTTCAACCCGGAGGCTGGAGAAACCGAAAAGGATGAGATCTCAAAACTCTGACTACCTCAGTGAGATTGAAGATCAAGTATACAGCTTTGACAGAGGTTAGACATGATCTTTGGACCTAATCTCACAAAATGTCAAAATACCATGTGTGAAGACAAATGTCAAAATATAACTTTGTGTGAAAACAAATGTCAAAATACTATGTGTGTCTTGCTTTTCAAAAACAAATGTCAAAATACTATGTGTGAAGACAAATGTCAAAATCAGCATCGATCAACGAGTTGTGACATGTGTCAAGTAACCAAACAATCCCGCTTAGTCACCTCTTTACGACAAGCATCTGAAGATCAATTCTAACCCGGATCTTCACGGGTACAGTTATGCCAACAGAGATATCTTTAAGTGTAAAAAGTCCATGGATGGTAGCATTAGGATGTCTCACACAGAGAGAATGTTTGTATCCACCATCAAATCATTGCATTTACATTGCATATACTAATGTTTGTTGATATAAGTATTTATTTTGATGATATACATCAAGTTATATTTAATGTTTGAATGCAGAAAACCTGCTGCAAATATTATAGATTAGTTCATGAAGTAACATTGTGTATCAAAACTTCTTCACAATTCAACATACTGTCAAACCATCTATACTGTAGCTGAAGTCATATGCTACAAGTTTACACACAGCTTCCAGAACTGTAAATATAGAGTGAGTCTAAATATAAGGCACAACTGCACTCCAAACAAAACCCCCACTGTACAGTGTTATACTTTTTGAACACTGTTGCAAATGAATAACACTGCCACATCACAAAGAAATTCACATGTTTTAGGATTCTGTACAAATATTTTGATATTTTTGTACACATCAATAAGGCCAGACCAATTGTATTTCTTGTTTTATGGCTCCGCCGTTCGTATTTTTTCAAGAATAAGGAAAAAAATAAAAATTAAATTTCCCCTCTCTAAAAATAAAATCCTAATGTAAATGTGATATAAGTGAAGTACTCTCGAAATCAGGAGTATTTCACTGGTGATTATTAAAAAAAAAATTCCTCCTGCCTTTAGGTTTTTTGGGGACAAAAATCAGTAAAACAAGAAATAAAATAGGTCTTTCCCAATGTAAATAATTCCCTTTCAGACATTTTATTGTTTATTAATTTATTAACCAATCAGTACCAAAAGATAACTGAAACAGAAAAAGAGAAGAGTTTTAGCAAAATATTTTTGAGCCAACTTATTTATGCATCATCCCATTGTACATTGTTGCAAATTAGAGCTGTTTGGATGAAACTATTCATTATCCGACAGCACAAGAATCAAGAGCATTAATCAGAGCCCAGTTAATGCAATGGTTGATGTTCTCCTGTACCTTTGCTATAAATGTAATCCAATGCTGTACGAAGAGGCTGAACGAGGCAATGGTTATCATGTTTGGATTCCCCAAAGAATGTAACACCCTGTGAAGGGCATGTGCAAAAAGTAAAGGTGTTTGATAGTAAAGAAAAGGGTGGGTGCAGTGTTTGCCCTTGGCCTAAATATTTAGGAGTCACCATGAGAGGGAGTCATGGACATGTTTTAGGGAGTCAACTTCAGTTTGGAACTTTCATCAAGAAATTAACTGTGATTGTTTAATAGCGACAAAAAACAAGGTCAGACAGGTCAGGTATTTAATCTGCACTGAGAAGTTAACTGGCAAACAATTAACTAAGTAGTTTTAAACAACAGCAAATTACAATATGTACTCAAACTTAACTAAGGGTCCAATAGCATTTCGTCAACAATGATGCAACCTTCTAAATTCACTGAGTATTTGAGATAATTTGTGCATCAAATACGCAGGTTTTCTGCATCCTGGGCCGACACTGTGGGAGATGGCAGGCAGTTTATGAAAAACAATGAAATATGAAAATGAAAAACATATTTTTTCACGAAGATAAACATGTTTTCACATATTTTCTTTTCGCCTTGAAATACATTCTGAAGGTGAATCTGTTGCTAGGCAGCCAAAATGAGTCAGTTAATGTGTTAGACACATGCTTGTAAAGTACCTAAGGTGAGACCACATGTATCACACAAAGAAGCACATGTGATACATCTCACCTTAGGCAAGTGGGTTTGTTCAAAAGTGCCTCTGTTCATCCAGCAGAAAAAATGGGTACCCAGTGGGATATAGTCATGTGACTTATTATTATTATTATTATTATTATTATTATGTTTGTGTGAATGTTTAAGGTAACATAATTCTATAAGGGAACTCTCAAGTCTGTTTATATCAAGAGCTGACAATTTGATAAGTATGACTGATGGAGATGAGGATGGAATTGGAATGGAGGTGATTGTTTCAATAAATATATCCTCTGGGGTTTGTAAAACAAAATAAGTTCCCTGAAAAAAAAACATACTTAATTTCCATAGTGATTCTGGGCAGAGTGAATCCCAAGTACCCCTGTCTTTCTCCCCATGTTGATACTGCTTGTTTCCCTGTGATGGTGCCACTCTTGTTATGACCCGTGAAGATCCGGGTTAGAATTGGTCTTCAGTAACCCATGCCTGTCGTAAGAGGCGACTAACGGAATTGGGTGGTCAGGCTCACTGACTGGGTTGACACATGTCATCGTATCCCAACTACGTAGATCGATGCTGATGATGTTGATCACTGGATTGTTTGGTCCAGACTTGATTATTTACAGACCGCCGCCATATAGCTGGAATATTGCTGAGTGCGGAGTTAAACAACAAACCAGCCAACCAATCAGCCAGCCACACTTGTTATGAGAGATAACTCTGTGCCCTGATGATATGTATTGTTGTTCATGCTCTCGACCACTGGTTTGCCAGGTAGAAATTTGATTATCTGCAGTCTACTAAGATAAAGGTGTTTTCTTTTGACTTTACTGATCCTTCAACCAAGTTCTGATGGAATCAAACATCTGTCACTTTGCCCAGTCTTCATTCATATCTTTTTGTTCCAGAGATATTTTAATTTTCTGTGCATGGTTTCAGATAATATTGAGGTGACTCATCTGAAAACCCTCACAAGGAGTGACCTTCATGCATTCTTCAAGGTGAGTTGGGTCATTTGGCACAGGAGTTACAAGCAAATCAAACTCGAACAACATGAAATGTCTCATACCAGAACGTCTACCATCTGCTGGGCGTGGGGGTAGCCTAATGAACCTCTACCATCTTCGAATCACATGGGTAAATGTTTTTTCTACTTGCCCCTGCTGATTTGCTGGAATAAAATAAAAGTCAGTCAGTCAGTATAATGAAATTTTCAACTTGCACTGTCTTAAACATGTAATCTCCTATAATTAATACTTAATACTTGTACACATTTTCATTTCTGGCTTTATCCTAAGACAAGGATATTTCTGTTAAAGTGTTTGTACAATGTGAAGCCCATTTCTGATGTTCCCCGCTGTGACATAGCTGCAATATTGCTAAAAGTGGCTTAAAGCCTTATTCACTCAATCACTCACACTCACTCACTCAAGAGCAGGTGAGTACAACCTTATCACTGGTTCAAAGTGGCTTTGGGCTGGACCTGGGTAGCCTAGAGGTTAAAGCGTTGGCTCTCACGCTGAAGACCATTTTCGATTCCCCACATGGGCACAATGTGTGAAGCCTATTTCTGGTGTCCCCCTTATTCATATTGCTGGAATATTGCTAAAAGCGCTTTGAAAACTCAACTCACTCAGTCAGTCAGTCAAAGTGGCTTTGGTTCGATCCCCCAGACCGCGTCATACCAAAAGAGCGTTAAAATATGGTACTTGTTGGTCCCTGCCTGGCGCTCGGTATTAGTGGGTACAACAAGGATTGGTCGGCTCGGAGTCAGTATAATGTGTCTGAGTGGGGTATTCATGCTTCACTGCGGCATGGTATCTCAGTGGGCTAGCACTATAAAACCAGCTTCAGTCTGGGCTAGTACAAACAGCCACACATACACACACACATGCATGCACAACGTCATATGAGCGAAATATATTCTCAAGCACGACGTTAAACCCAATTTCACCTCACCTCACCTCAAAGTGGCTTCAAACCCCAATCACTCACTCATTCACATACTGGCTGACTAACATGTGTGATTATGTTTGTATCTTGAAGTGCTTACATTGCTATATCGTCCTCACCCTGAGTTACACACTGGTGTTACAGGAACATATAGCCCACGCTGCCCCACACAGGAGGAAGTTGTCCGTACACGTGATATCCACAGCAGAGCAGGACTCCACAGACTGTGTCCAGGACATGGAGGTAGAGAGCAACTCTCCGAGCCACCAGGTAAACAAGTGTACTGCATTCTTGCAATCTGTGTCCTGTAATCTATTACCTTGTGGTATTCTCGGCTAGGTTACGTCCCTAGATACTGTGGTTCTCGTGAGAGCAGAAGAAAAGTGGGCTGAATGATTACAAACCATATATTTTCCTGGTCCCACTACAGAACTTATAGGGGGCAGTGGGGTAGCCTAGTGGTTAAAGCGTTCGCTCGTCACGTGGGACACCCTGGTTCAATTTAACTTGGGTACAATGTGTGAAGCCCATTTCTGGTGTCCCCCAACGTGATATTGCTGGAATATTGCTAAAAGCGGCATAAAACCGTACTCACTCACTCACTACAGTACTTACAGTACTGTGTGAAGTAGCTGGAATAGTGCCATTAAACAACATTCTCTCACTCCGTAGTTTTTGTACAAAATATCATTCTTGAAAACATATCAGGTCTTCAGACTATCAGTAGTGCAATGCTAATTTACATGTTAAAAGGTCACCCTGATTCTAACTGTAGTTGTTAGTCTAATGTTACCATGTATGTTGATCATGATGGCGGCCATTTTATTGTGCAACCACTGGTTTCTTTACCATGAACCATATTTGGTACACAATATAGCTATGCTGTGATATGCCAGTGTACAATAGTTAACTGCAAGTTCTGATCTCACAGCCCATTCACTCAACATTTCTCCCTCTCTTGTCATGCAAACAAACAAGTTGTGTTCATTGTAAAAGGGAATTACAGGAACGAGTCAAGCTATGCAGGCCAAATTGTTTTCATTTATTGAATATTCTTGGTCAATATGTCAAGATGCTGCAAAATATAACATAAGGATGGGTACACTTTGACCTGATGCTATTTTCCTAATATATATTATAATAAATGTTAATAATGTTAAAAAACAAATTTTTAATCAGAGAATTTTGAAAGTTTTAACATTTGCAAACATTCAGTGCATAATAAAATGTTTATTATCTTAGTAAAAACAACATTCATATATGAAATGTTTGAAATAGTTCTAACATATAGTTGTCAGTTAATCAATATTATGTAAACTACATTAATTTGTTGACTTTTCCAATGCTTTTCTTAATCCAGCCTATTGTTGTGGACAATGTGTCCAACTTCAAGCGGACACTGGCTGTCTATCCCCGGCTCAAACCAGCTCTGGACGTGACCAACCAAACCAACCTCAACCTCTCCAGCACTTCCTAACATGGGATAGAAATCAAGATATTTCAGGGCAGGATTTGATTGTGATTGGTTTTGAATTGTTTGATAATTTATTGGGCATTTTCAACTGCTGCTGTTGGGACAAAATTACTGCTGTTACCATGTTGCCTGAGTCTTTGCTGAGTGCAAAGATGAAAATATTTAACAGAACGGCCATGGGACTATAACTGTAAATCTCAGGTGTCTTGTTGAACACCAGTCGGGAGCTACTCCACTAATAAGGACGGAAACGTCCCTGTTTTAACAACTTTTAGGAACAGTTCCACAATGAGATCATAGTAATTATTATTGCTATTGTATGTTAAAGTATGGATTTAATGATAACTTTAATGGTAAAATCAGTCGTAGTACAGCACCGGCCCCCATTCCACCAGGTCATGTTAGTGCTACAACTATTGCAGTTGTTTGTTAAAGTATGGGACTTACGATAATCTTAGCGTCAAAATCAATTGTGGTACTGTCCAGGGCCCCATCCACAAGTAATTGCACAGCTACAGCTATATCTATATTGTTTTAGGGTATGGGCATAATGATAACATTAGCACTAAGATCATTATAAAACAGCTCTGTTAACAAAACTCATGGTGCTAAGATGGCTTTGTGGCGCCATTTGTGGAGCCAATGTTGTCTGGGCACAATCTTGAGAACACAGTATTGTCAGTCTGTAGAGTCGGTCAGTTGGGCTTATACCCATTTTTAACCTCACCCAGTTTTGGCTGTGTCCCAGAATTAATTTTGGTCCCTCTGGGGCTATTTCCCTCCCTAAACAAATGACAAATGAATAAATTGAGCCCAAAAGGGCTTTTTTGGCTGCATGACAAATTCTTCAACAACCATGGTTCCCGAATGATTAGCAGCAGTATGTCTGTGATGTTTATTCTATGAAGAATCTGGTACTCAGAAAATACCCACCTATAAAAAGCCAGGATGTATATGTCCTTGGGTGAAGTGATATTTTATATGTTTGTTTTTATTTGTTCATTTTACAATCAAGGAGCCACGACTTGTGACCTTTTTTATCATATGTGCTGATATGGTGTGGGGTGCTCTGTGGTGCCTATTATACTGATGGTGTTATGGATGAATGCTTCTCACCAATCCTTTATCTCTTTGGGGTGCTCTATAGACTATACTGATGGTAAAAAGTTATGCAACACAATTATTTTTAACCAGATGAATGTCTTGTGAACTTCATCACCAATCCTTTATTCTCTTTGGGGTGCTCTCATAGACTGAGAGAATGGAACAAGTAAAATTGTCTCCCTTTGCCTCTACCTGGATCCCCTGGTTGTTAGTTTGATACCTTCTTTTTCATTATGTGGGTTGATAGTGATCATGTATGGTGGGTGGGTGTTTTTTATCTATCTGCCAGTGTGTACTTATGATAACAAAATTTGCTTTTAGGCTAAGGGTGGCCCCAGGGACTAAGTGGACAGAAACTGTGTAGACAGTTGTGTCCCTTACCTACTTTCAGGATGTGCTGGTATTTCACAAAGTTGTAACCCGTATCTCTTTGCTGCGTCCTGTATAAACTGATTGCAGTCATCATGGTGATGGAACATGTCTTTTAGAAAGGATCATAAAATATGAAAATCAGTTCATCCTTTCCCCATGTATTGTGATGGTTGTTGTATAACAAGGTGTGCAGAAAGTTTTCATAGCCTTCTCAAATTTTAAGTCTTGAATCAGGGACTACACTGCATTTCTTAACACTATTTGATCACTGGATTGTCTGGTCCAGACTTGATTATTTACAGACCGCTGCCATATAGCTGAGTGCGGCGTAAAACTAAACTCACTCACTCACTCTTAACACTATTTAGAAAGACGTACTGTTATCAGCTACACAAAGTTTCACAAATCATAGAACTCTGACTGCAGTAACCATGGGAACAACAATCATCACAGCTATCATTGCTACCAAATTGTCCCTTAGACATGTAATAAGTATGCTTATGTGTGTTGTAGGGGGGGATGAGTGTCAGAGTACCTGCCTTTCCTATCTCTACATAAGAACCAGGTCTCAAGGAAATATTTCAGAGTTTAGAAATTTAGATCCTTATGTATCATTTGATTTTATGAAATTTGTGTCACTTGATTGATTTTACAATTGTTTTTCTTGTATAAAGTAACACACCACCGTCAATTGGATACCATGACTTTTAGATGACAATAACTACTGTGATCACTGACCTTGACAACATCCTCAGATTGAGGGGCGGAGGGGTAGCCTAGTGGTTAAAGCGTTCGCTCATCACACCGAAGACCCGGGTTCGGTTCCCCACATGGGTACAATGTGTGAAGCCCATTTCTGGTGTCCCCTGCTGTGATATTGCTGGAATATTGTTACAAGCGGCGTAAAACTGAGCTCACTCACTCACTCCTCAGATTGATATCATGTTTCTGGCAGGTTCATCTCACCCAACTGATACTGTTGTTCACTTATGGTGTATCCACTGATCTTAAATGATATAAACACATAAATATTCCAGAAACTCTACATAGTGAAACTTCAGAATGCTTCCTTCCAGTCCCGGTAGATTGTCTTGATTGTTTTTAGGACAGATAACCTTTGGTATCTGCTACACTATGTGTGAAGCCCATTTCTGGTGTCCACTTCTATGATATTGCTGTAATATTGCTAACAAGAGCGTAAAAGTAAACTCACTAACTCACTCACTGTATAATATAAATTGTATTTGCTACATGTTAAACCTACTTGCAGACTGAAGCATGGGTTTGTTGAACATATGCTGTGGAACATGGTCATCATGTTAGTTCTTAGTCAACCATACTCACAGTGATGGTTGATTTTCACAGGATACAAAACTGATGATTTTACCATATACTTTCATGTCATTTCATCAAAACCCTTATAGTTAATTTTATTTTTATATTTCAATAAAATTTTAAGAACCAGCACTTTTATTGTGTTTTGTTTTAGCTTGACAGATGATATGGTGAATTGTTTGTCATTGATCCTTTATCCCATACTATCTAAGGGATGTTAGGATGTTATTGTTAAAACATTCCCCTGAGTTTGTGGTTCAAAAGGTAAGACCTCAAAGTTGTAAAACCTCAAGTTTGAGGTTTTTCCATTCTACCTGCGTTTAACAGCAGCGTTTAACAAACTTATGAACCTTCAAAATGCAAGAATTTCTAGAAAAGAAACTGAATGAATATCTTTTATGGAAACAATACCATTTGATGATAGCAGGAGACGACAGCATGCAGAGGAATGAAGTATGAAGTGATTGACACTTAACACCTGCGTCAGTGAATGAGTGAGTGAGTTAATATTTAACGTCACATCGGCTATATCTCAGCCATATCGTGACGACCTGCGTCAGTAGCTGATGAGGCATCCTGTCGATAACAATGTCATATGTTAGCTTATAAATTTGATTCACCTTATGGACATTTTCACATAAAAAAGTGTTACTTTTTAACCAGTGTAAAAATCAACATTAGAATCATATTTAAAGGTTGCATGTAAAAGACCCCTGAAAAGAAAAGGGTCCATGTAAAAGACCCAATTCCCGTTAAGAATTGGTTTTCAGCAACCCATGTTTGTCGGAAGAGGCGACTAATGGGATCGGTGGTCAGGATCGCTGACTCCAATATTTACATACAGCCGCCATATAGCTAGAATATTGCTGAGTGTGGTGAAAACTAAACCCACTCACTCACTCACTTAGACGTCTTTAAGAATGCTACCCTTGTACAGCTATGGTTAACCAGGTTTATTGACACCCCACACCCCGTCCAAACCCACCCACCCCCTCTAAAAGTGGAATAACCAAACCTCTTTATTGATTATAGTCACAACTGCGCTTTTTCAGTAACCAGCTTGCTTCTCGTGAACCAGATAATTCTAGATTTGATCACATATATAGCAGTGAAATGTAACGGTGTACATGCTTGTCAACACATGCATGTTAATACCGTTCCCTTGTCCTCAGCGACTCGGAATTATGAACGACCTTGTCCCAAAATAGTGTCTTATTTCTGAAGAAGTCGTTTAATGAACTGGTTAATGCTCATATCACAACAGAAGCCTTGCGTGACTGAGTCCTTGGCGAACTAATGCTTCATTTGTGTACCTCTCATATCATTCCATCACTCATAGAGCTTCGCTGAAACTCCAGCTGTCATCACTGTTCAGGCAAACCTGGAATATTCGGAAACATTAAACCAGCATACCTGCCAAATCTCACGGCATTGGCTTGAGACTCACGCTTTCATTACCCGTGTCACGCTCTCACGACAAAACTAATAAAAACTGGGTTCATATGAAAATCAAAATAAATATACGTTACAAATCACACAAATAAGTCTGAACAGAGCGTTTTCAGTGACTTTTCTGAGAAGGGAATTTGCAACTGTGCGTTGGTTTCAGGACCCGAGTGGAACTGCTGCCCTTGGATCCCGACATCTCAAGGTTTTTTCTCTCTTGGAGTTGATGCTCTGAATCAGAATTCACACAACCCTGTCCCCGTAAAGCTTTGGAAGGGTGTTTTATGAAACAACGTTTAAGCATATACCAAGGACCCGTAAGTTTGTTTTGATCGTTGACTATAATGACGTTGTACAAACCCAGAGAGAGCCAAAGAAATAAATAAGATTTGAAAGTCAGAAGTAGGTATCTTAGATTTTGGAAATAGCTTAGGATCCTGTCTGACACCACTTGCCGCAAGAACACAAGATGTGCTTTTATTTGAATGAGAAAAGGCCTTTTTTGAGTTACGAAAATATGTTTTTCTTTTCAAAAGTTACAATCTGGAACCGATGTTTGAAAAAGTAACCAAAAGAAACATTCTAAACCGTAATCTATTTGAGGTGTTTTTGACGCAGTTCAGAAAGAATATACATTTGAATTCTAGTGAAATGCACTACGAAACATTGGAAAAAGCTGTAGCGCAAATATGTTCTGTGAGCAAAACACTGCCCTAAATTACTTTGAACGTTAAAAGTGTGGTTGTGATAAGGACAAAAACAAGGTTGTGAGCTATTCCACTTGTAGATGGTTCAGGTGTGGAAATGTGGATGTATTTATATTAAATCTTAACACATTCAAATAGGTCTACACTTTCCTGCTTTTGTCTGGAGTAGGTGGCACAGTCACCCATGGCGCTGCAAGTCGCCTCGCCGAGGAGTGTTCGTTTAGAATGACAGGAAACTCAGCAGGTGTAACAATTTAATGTAAGAGATTCTGTCAGGTACCTAAAATAAGGTACCTAGTGTAGGCAAAGTGATAAGAGTTTATATGTGTAATCGTGCCCAAAAATGTGGCGCTTTGCTCACAAAAGCAGTGGCTCCCTTGCTCAAACTCGGTTATCTGCAGCATCTAATAGTTTGAATATTGCTGACCGTGGCATTTAGGAGCCATCAAGGACAAATGACCATTGACCAGTGTATTAAAATTAGTATCAAGGGTTCGAATGTTTCGGATATCAGTGCTGTTTCACCACGGTAACAACCCCATAAGGGAGTGAGTCCGGTGAGTGAGTGAGTGAGTGAGGGTGGGAGCTGAACCCGGACCTTCAGTGTAACCCCCCAAATACCTGTATCACTTCAGGCTGTCCTTCCACAGCAGTGCGGTGGGGGTAGACTCGTGGTTAAAGCGTTCACTCGTCACGCCGAAGACCCGGGTTCGTTTCCTCACATGGGTGCATTGTGATAAGCCCATTTCTGGTGTACCTCGCTTTGATATTGCTTGAATATTGCTAAAAGCGGCGTAAAACTAAACCCACTCGCTATTCCTCTGTAAAGCTTCTATGGGGAGAGGGCATGCGACGTGTGTAGCATGGCAACCTGATAGTCTGATGATGGCCGCGTGAATGACAGGATTCAACAAGGACCATGGGGCATGCAAGGTTCATGTATAGTGAAAGGGACACTACAAACATATGTTACCTGTCGCCCTATGTTGAACCCTCATGCCGCCGAGGGGCGGTGGGGTAGCCTAGTTGTTAAATCGAGCACATATGTGACGCAAGTTTCAAATGTTATGACGAATATAGAGATTTTTTCTGGGTTACATCTTCTTTTATTCTTGAGTACAACATTTCAGGGCTTAACATAGAGATTTTTTCTGGGTTACATCTTTTTATTCTCGAGTACAACGTTTCAGGGCTTGTTCTGGCCCCATCATCAGGTAAAACTGAACAGTAACTGTTAACTCTGGCCGTGACGTCACAATGCTTATGACGTCACAATGCTATGACGACGCAATACATGTGGTGGTCAATAGATACAGATGACATGGCTAATCGAATACATGTTATTATGAATATATAAGATGTCGTTTACTGCAAAATTAATGGATCAATTTAGAACTGTTCAGATACTTATACAAAATTGTTGATTGATTTAGAAATGTACAGAGACGTATTTATAAATGTATAGAATGTAAAGTAGTAGCAGTGTATACATAGAAATTATGCTTTATACATGGGAACAGTGACGAGGGTAGGGTATTGTCTTATTGTTTTATGTACCATGCATTTGGGAGGTAGACACCCTTGATCCCATGTTTATTGCTGGTTTTGTGCGTTTGATGAAGATAGCTTCAATCAACTTGCGTTTCCGCCAGTCACTGATGTTTTTTGCGAGGACTTCAGTTTCCCAGTCAATTTCATGATCGGGATTATTCATAATGTGTTCGGAAACTGTAGATTTCAGATCTGATTTGTCCACTGAAGTTTTGTGTTCTTTCACACGTGTAGCTACTGGTCTGCCTGTCTCACCAATGTAGATGTCACCACAGTCACATTTCAATTTATACACACAGCCTTTAGGGTTGGAGATAGCGTGATTGCACCCCCTTACCATTTGCATGTAGCAAAGTTTTAAAATAAAAGAATAAAAAGAAGATGTAACCCAGAAAAAATCTCTATGTTCATCAAATATCATCTTCTAAAATGCCAATCGAGCATCTATTTCAGGGCTTGTTCTGGACCCATCATCAGGTAAAACTGAACAGTAACTGTTAACTCTGCCCGTGACGTCACAATGCTATGACGACGCAATACACGTGGATGTCAATAGATACAGCTAACATGGCTAATAGAATACATGTTATAATGAATACATAAAATGTCGATACTTAATTATACAAAATTGTTGATTGATTTAGAAATGTACAGAGACTTATTTATAAATGTATAGAATGTAACTGACTGACTGAGTTTAGTTTTACGCCGCTTTTAGCAATATTCCAGCAATATCACGGCGGGGGGACACCAGAAATGGGCTTAACACATTGTGCCCATGTGGGGAATCGAACCCGGATCCTCGGCGTGACGAGCCAACGCTTTAACCACTAGGCTACCCCACCGCCCCGTATAGAATGTAAAGTAATAGCAGTGCATACATAGAAAATATGGTTTATACATGGTTTATACATGGGAACAGTGCCAAGGGTAGGGTATTGTTATTGTTTTATGTACCATGCATTTGTTAACTGTTTCTATTGGCATCCACATGCATTGCGTCGTCATAGCATTGTGACGTCATAAGCATTGTGACGTCACGGGCAGAGTTAACAGTTACTGTTCAGTTTTTACCTGATGATGGGGCCAGAACTCAAGAATAAAAGAATAAAAGAAGATGTAACCCAGAAAAAATCTCCATGTTCATCAAATAGCATTTTCTAAAATGCCAATCAAGCATCTAAATGTTATGACGTTCGTACAGTCCATACATTGAAGTATGTAACCGAGTGTGATAGACATGACAACACCGTAGTGGCTGACGTCAGAAATCGGAAAACGTGCTGTATGCCCTGCGATAGGTTTCCTGTGAACAGAACCCATCCTGTCGGACTTGAAGTAGAGAGAGAAAAGGAGAGAGTTTAAGCTTACCTGTCCAGAAATCTGGAACTACGACTCGCTGTTCAAAGCGACCACAAACCCAACAAACTCACTGACATCATCGACAAGAAATACACGAAAATGAAACAGGTGATTTCATGTTTACTCACAATTTTATTATTCTTTAAACTTTCCATCTCCACAAGTACAGAGTAATTCGGTTGATGTACGGAACATAATTGGACATGAACGCAAAATAAGCAAATCCTTCCAATAAAATATCGCAGCAGATGTACGACCCGTATATTAACTGATATGGTTGAGCCAAGAAGATGTGTGTGACCATGCTCGTATCTTAGTCCATACTGAAACAAAAATAGCATTGGACATCATGCAAGGATTCAGTTCAATTCTCATACCAGATGATTCTTATTTTGCTTACTTTAAGTGGTTTTTTTTGGAAATTATAACGAAAAAAGCATTCCTTATTTGGAATTATTCTTCAAGACTTGAATATACTGAATATGTTCACGTCTGTGTCAGTGGAAAATTTTATGAAACGAACAGTATGGATTTAATTAATGGCTAATTAAAGTACAATTACAAGTTATGTTTAATTTTAGTTTGTTCCTTGTTAACGTTGCATAATATTCCTGGATTATGAAGGGGTCTACAAATTATCGAGTTTGGACCAGTCTATCCGGTGATTGACCATCAGATCATCAGATCTACGCGATTGTCATTGGGATACGATGACATGTCAACCAAGTCAGCGAGCCTGCCACTGGTCGCCTCGTACAACACGCATCTTGACGGGTTCGTTTAATTAATATTTAATTGATTTAATACATTTGGTTATATCTAAAAATGGAATAATTAATATATAAATTAAACCTACTTCATTTCACAAATAAAGTGCAGTTCCTGTTTGCATGGTATCTCATCCCAGATGAACTTCGGCTTGGGAGTGACAGCGAGGCAATGACCATGAACTTTCATCATGGCTTCCGGTTCTTCCCTCTTCCAGTTCCGGTAGCCAACCCGCCTACCGCTCGTCATCCAAACCCATTGGTTCTCATTCACGATGTCCGTGGCGCCTATCCACAAAGAGCCTGCAGAAATTTCATCTGAAATCACAGGAAATTACATAACATTTCGTTTGACACAGAAACGTATATTTAACGTGAAAAGGTGAAGTATTCCACGCATACTATCTTGGAAGCATAACACATGATCAACTAGTTCATTCAATGTATTTTTCGAGTTTTTTATTCTCAAGACAAGCAAAAGAAAGTCATGGTTATTTTCTTTCTTGAAATTCCTACGGCCATTTAAAGGCACGCGGATCTAGAGTAATTCCCCTGCTTTTGTTGCTTTTGTTATTGGTTTTCTCCCACCACTCAAGTCAAAACATTGATCACACAACAGTCTCGTTTCCTGCTGACTGGGTTCCGTCCTATTGCGCAACTTAGTACAATAACCAGTCCAGAATTTTGAGACCAACTCATTCAACTGGATATGTAAATTTTAATCAGTATTATTTGATACATATAATCACTTGTATATTGCAACACTATGCTCCTTCTAATCCTTGCAAACACGTCGTGCAGCGTGCTCTGTCGTACAGCGTGCTCTGACAAACGGAAATCTGGAAATCGTGGCAATCTCAAAACGAGGCTCGGCCGCTAGAAAAGTTTGGCGGTCTGGTGCGGACTTGATATTATATCAATCACATTGTACGTTACAAAAATACACTTAATAAGCGCAAAGAACACAAAATAGGTGCAACCAGTGAGCCAGATGAATTGTGAATCAGTATACGACCTCTTCAAACAGGGGCAGTCCGTGACATCTTAGTTAAACCTCGACATAAGCTATAGAAATACGATTTTTTTTAAACTTTAAACTTAAAATTAATTTGTAAATACCATTTTCTTATGAAACAAGGAATTGGAATTTAGTGTAACTATAGTTGATGGTAGTGTCTCTTTTCACTTTCACACGAAAAAATTCGGATCGCCTGAACAGTAGGTCATTGTCTGAACTGGTTAATGAGACTCATGTTTCGGTTTGCCCGGATGATATGCCAGCATAAAGGGCGTACCCTTACATTGATCAACAAAGTTGAGATACAGTTTCGTCTTGGACTTAAACATAAACACTCTTACTTTGTTCGTATAGCTGATTTGAAACATTCTACAAATTGCTTTGTGCAATGCTGAGCCTTGAAGTAATTGATTTCATAGTTTTATGTTTTGTTGAATTTCCTTATATATGGCTTAATATAACTATATGTTTTGTTGAATTTCCTTATATATGGCTTAATATAACTATATGTTTTGTTGAATTTCCTTATATATGGCTTAATATAACTATATGTTTTGTTGAATTTCCTTATATATGGCTTAATATAACTATATGTTTTGTTGAATTTCCTTATATATGGCTTAATATAACTATATGTTTTGTTGAATTTCCTTGTTTTGTTGATATATATGGCTTAATATAACTATATGTTTTGTTGAATTTCCTTATATATGGCTTAATATAACTATATGTTTTGTTGAATTTTTGTTGAATTTCCTTATATATGGCTTAATATAACTATATGTTTTGTTGAATTTCCTTATATATGGCTTAATATAACTATATGTTTTGTTGAATTTCCTTATATATGGCTTAATATAACTATATGTTTTGTTGAATTTCCTTATATATGGCTTAATATAACTATATGTTTTGTTGAATTTCCTTATATATGGCTTAATATAACTATATGTTTTGGTCAGTCTGTAAACAATGTGAAATAACGAACACTTATGATGACATGAACAGAACCTAATACGAATAAAACAAAATCTAGTCAAACGCACTGTCAGCAAAGTCGAGTCTCTCGAGAATGAACTGTTCTTCCCAGGGCGAGTCTATTTCCAGCAGGTGCGCATCCATGACGTCACACATCACCTGTAGCGACAAATATATATATGCTTGATATCAAGTAGCTTGAAGAGGTACAACACTTGAATGAATAGGTCAACAGGTTGGGTTTGGTGGTACCTGTTCTCTACATGATACCTGCTCCAGCTATTACAGACTGTGAAACATTAAACTGCTAGGTATTTTCAAGTTGACTTTTGCCTGTCTTCAGGATGCCAGTACTCGTCAGAGGCATCGTTCGCTTGTACCTCAAACGAAAAGCATCCCTACAGCGTCAGTTCGAAGCAAATGTCATGTTTTAATAGCAAATCTCAGCCACTTATATTGCGCTCATGGTCATTTATATATGTTTCTTAATAAAATATTGTCATACTTATATTGGCATTAATGTATGTTTCAAATATATAGATAATAATAATGTAAGTTAAAATACTCTAAGCTAGGGAATGTTTTCCAAATTCCGAAACAAGCAAGCTCAAACGAAGAAACATGAATATTGATGCCATGATGTGAATGGTTCACCAATGACTTCAAACAACGTCTGATTCAAATCCAATAATTTTCTTACGCAGTCCATCCCCGTTCTGGCAACACATTTAAGAGATTTCTTTGAAAAACCAAACCAATATTCATCCGCTAAACAAAGAGGACAGGGCATCAGCTGTGTTGACAAGAGTGTTATCTGCCCGGCAGTAGTTTTGCTTTTGGTGCAGACAAATCCAGTTGTCAACATTTACAAAGCAAACGGCAAACATCTTACAACTGTAACGCGCTATTAATAAAGAAGAAAACTATAAAGGGGTATTCGGAGGCTGGGAAATATGATGACACATATTCAGAAGCTACTTGAAACATTTTCACAATAATATTCAAGGGATTACTAATTTGCCTCGAGGAGAGATTTTTTGATTACTTCAGTGATTGTTATTGTGAATGCGTAATCATACAACTCACAACATGTATTTGTTCGGTGTGGGATAGGCAGCGTGACAATGTGAGATTACGTGTATTTAAAACACAATGTCCTATTGACGTTTCTTGTCAACTAGACAATTCTACATAAAGGTAGCTTTGCTGTATTTATTAAACGCTTAAACCAAGACCACAAACGTCTATTGTTTTGTTTTACATGACGTTGTATGTTCATACAATATGCGAGTTGCAGCACGAATACTTTAATACAATGTCTGTGTTTAGCAGTAATGGGAGAGGGTCAGACACAGGTACACACAGACACAGAGAGACACACTTACGCAGACACACGCGCACAGACACAGTCACAGAGACACAAAGACACACACAGAGAGACACGAATATACAGTCACAGAAACACACACACTGACACAGAGACACACAGACACATGCACAGAGTCACAGAAACACACACACTAACACAGAGACACAGACACAGAGTCACAGAAACACACACACTGACACAGAGAGAGACACACAGTCACAGAAACACACACGCTGACACAGAGACACAAACACAGACACAGAGTCACAGAAACACACACACTGACACAGAGAGAGACACACAGTCACAGAAACACACACACTGACACAGAGAGACACACAGACACATACACAGTCACAGAAACACACACACTGTCACAGAGAGACACACAGACAGTCACAGAAACACACACACAGACACATACACAGAGTCACAGAAACACACACACTGTCACAGAGAGACACAGACAGTCACAGAAACACACACACTGACACAGAGAGACACACAGACATACAGTCACAGAAACACACACACTGACACATACACAGGCACGCACACACACGAACACAGAGAAACACATGCACAGACGCGCACACAGATGGGGATGTTTGCTTCACGGATTTAATGTGTGGTTCTCCAGGTTATAGATAATTCAGTGGTGATTGCAATAACCATGAATGCGACATTAAACCCCATTTCACTGAAGAGCAGGGCGAAGCTTTGCACTGCATTGTCCATCCAACGGTGGTTATATCGTGAAAAATGTCCACAGATCAAAGTTCTAAAATGATAATGAGTGATTTAGGTTTTACGCCGCTTTTAGCAATATTCCAGCAATATCACGGCGGGTGACATCAGAAATGGGCTTCACACATTGTACCCATGTGGGAAATCAAACCCGAGTATTCGGCGTGACGAGCGAACGCCTTAACCACTAAGCCAACCCACCGCCCCTAAAATGATAATGACTTAGTCTAGTTACTGATGATAGCGTGTTTTTAACAAAAATACATTTATTTTAAAATCTTTAGATGGCACTCAAGCCTGTATTATCAAGATGCCGGCATTCCTACAGCAAATAATCCAGTCTGGACCAGACATAGCCGTGATGAACATCATGAACATCGACCTACACAATTGGGAACCGATGACATGCACGTGTCAGCCAGGTCAGCGACCCTGACCATCCGATCCCGTTAGTCGCTTCTTACGACAAGCATGGATTACTGAAGACCAATTCTAACTCTGAACTTCACGGGTAGAAGTTCAACTTGAGATTAATATAGTGTGTAATTGTTTTACGTTACCTTTGCTTCTGGCCACGAAGCTTGCCAATTTACGAACTTGTAACAGGTGTTGCCATTGGCGATGAAGCCGTTCGGACATCTCACGTTGAAGCAGTCTGGAACATGGTCACAGAAAGGTGAGTCAGTGGGTGAGTGAGTAGGTGAGTATGGTTTAAGGCACTTTGGGCAATATCCCAGCAATACCACTGCGGGGGACACCAGAAATGGGCTTCACACATTGTACCCATGTGGGGAATCAAACCCGGGTCTTTGGCGTGATTACACGTAACAGTTTTCAAGAATCTAGCTGATTCCTGGTCGACGATGACGATAATCCCTTCATACTTCCACACTTCTGAGTGCGTTGGACTATGAAAACATTGGTGAAAGATGTGAAGAAGGATTCAGCCATAAGAACATACTATAAAGCGTGTTTGTGAAAAATAAAAAAAGCCAACGTCATTAATAACCACACAAAAATGGCACCTACTGAAATTACAAAACATAAAGCACAATTCATCACAACACAAATAACATATCCTTCGTATGGGTCAACAGTAGACTAATTAATAATTAATACAAAATCATTTATATAGCGCCTAGTATCCATCTGACTAGTTGCTCACTGGACGCTGTAATCAGAATCTAATTATTATTACCCCGGATAACCCAAGCTGCCTGTGAAGTGCTGGAAGGTTAATAGTCACATGACTTATCTCACCGGGTACCCATTTCCTGCTGGGTAACAGAGGCAATTTTGAACAAACAGCTTGCCTAAGGTGAGACCACATGTATCACATGTGCTTCGTTGTGGAGCAGGACTGATGTCCGAGAAACTCTCAGGAGTCAAGCTGCTAAACAGAGTCACCCATCCAAAACTCTCCTCTCTCAACGTTGCTTAACTTCAACTGATTTGTGACCTGAGCTCAATGCACTGGACCACACACCACTAGCGTGAGAGGTAGCGTCAAGGTGACGTTTTTGATCCCTCACAATATGGGGTTAATACTTACATGCCTGCACAAGGAGCATGAGAAAAACGATGATGTTCAGTTTAGCATCCATCCTTCCCAAAAATTAGTCTCACTCTTCCAGTCAGTTTATGTCAAACATTTTAAAACAATGTAATCCCCTTTTACCCCCGCTACCACGTGACAACCTGGATTAGCAATCACGTGATGCGAGGTTACTCTAAGAAAACACGGGATATCCCAGTCCGGTATTCCCATGGCAACGATATTAATAAGTTGGCTTAAAGGCAACCATCAGGCAAGAGTTTTGTGCCTGACCGAGAGGTCAAAATTCAGATGAATGAAATACACGTGGTTTACGTATAGAGGATATGTCTATATCTAATTTAAATGAAATTTTTGTTCCAAGTTGACAACCTTACATGTTGTCGTAAAATAGTTCTGAAGGTCTGTATCGTGCCGATCGTGCCAGGCGGTAAAGAGTCGCAAACGGCTTGTGTAAATGATAACTGAGAATTTTCCTTTTATGTTTTTCACACAGATGATCTATAACAACAGGACGACAGTGTTTGTGTTTGATTTTTGACGTGGGGGTCAACGTGATCAGTCTTCCAGGCATTCCCCTTCTGTCTATCACATTCGTCACTCTGCGTCATTTATTCTTCCAAATTATCACGTTTAGGATTAACATTTTTTTATATACCTTGTTATTTCTTACGTTTTATTTTTTATTTGATTTTTGACGTTGAGGATTAACATGTTTTTATATACCTTGTTATTTCGTACGTTTTACTTTGTATGTGATTTTTTGACGTGGGGGTCAACGTGATCAGTATTCCAGACATCCCCCTTCTGTCTATCACATTCGTCACTCTGCGTCATTTATTCCTCCAACGACGCATGAAAGATTCATCATTTTTTTGTTATTAACATTTTTTTATATACCTTGTAGTTTCTTACGTTTTATTTTTTATTTGATTTTGGACGTCGGGGTCAACGTGATCAGTTTTCAAGACATCCCTTTCATGTCTAGTACATTCGTCACTCTGCGTCATTTATTCTTCCAACGACGCATGAAGGATTCATCATTTTTTTGTTATTAACATTTTTTTATATACCTTGTAGTTTCTTACTTTTCATTTTGTATCACATATTGGAGAATCTCATTTTAAGAGTGAGTGAGTGAGTGAGTGAGTAAGTGGTAAGTTTGGTGAGTGTGAGTGAGTGAGTGAGTGAGGCAGGAGGTGCGTTTATTCCAATACTCCAGACATATCTCAGCGGAAGACTATAGAACCTAGATTGGATTATGTTACTTATTTACCCCCAGAAGCATACAGAGAGAGAGAGAGAGAGAGAGAGAGAGAGAGAGAGAGAGAGAGAGAGAGAGAGAGAGAGAGAGAGAGAGAGAGAGAGAGAGAGAGAGAGAGAGAGAGAGAGAGAGAGAGAGAGAGAGAGAGAGAGAGAGAGAGAGAGAGAGAGAGAGAGAGAGAGAGAGAGAGAGAGAGAGAGAGAGAGAGAGAGACACAGACAGACAGATACAGACATACACACACATATGCGCACAAAGAGAAACACACGCAAACACACATATACAGATTCGCACACACAGAGTGACACAGAGATACCCACAGGAACATACACATACACAGACAAACATGGACACATATACGCACACAGAGGGAAACACACATACACAGATAACCACATAAACACATACGGCGCGCAAACGCAAATAGACATACACATATACGCACAGAAATTCACACACACATACACAGATGCACACAGACACAGAGAGATATACACGGGGAAGCACACACATACACAAATTCACGCACAGACACATAGATTCCCACAGAAACACACACACAGACACACACACACAGACACACAGGCGCGCAAACACAGACAGATACACACATTTACGCATGGAGGGAAACTGTATGTATGTGTGTGTGCGTGCGTGCGTGTGTGTATTTAATAGAAAGTATGTGAGGAATTAAATATTTCTAAAAATTAGAATGATTTCGTGAAGTTTTGTTATCATAAAAGGAGACTGTGGAGACGGTCTCCACCTTTTCTTATTTACATCAATGAATAAAGATTCTCCAACATAAAACATGTTGAAAGTTTTACTGAAGCCCCGACTGTTGTGACCATCATCAAACGACTTTGTCGTGTGAAGCACTTTGAAGAACATTTCAAACTTTGCATCAGTGACAAAACTGATGACTCATGCAAGTCCCTATTAACTTAGTATCAATATGCATATGAGCTTTAAGGTGTATTTGTGTCGGTTCCACCGCTGGGAAAGGACACATTGCATTTGATGTCATCACGATAGTGAATCATAGACACATGTCCATGGTACAGTCTGAATAGTACATTGGATTCTGTTGTTTACAGAGCATTCTTATGACTATGGAAATGGTTATGTGGGCTCTAATTACACGAAACTACATTATTCCGTTAAGAATTTGAAACGAATCGTCAAGCACATTAACGTTAATATCCATACGAATAACTATAGGATCATATTTGTCTCGAGTGTTGACAAGCACCATCATTATTTCCTGTGACGAGTTTTTGAATTTTGATTCCATGCGTTCCCAAATGGCATGGATGTACTTTGCACTATTGGAGGCTTATTCATGGTTCTTTCTTTCTTCTGAAACCAAATGACTCATCTCCACTTTGCCTGCATGTGTTATTGAAAAGATGTATTGAATCTCGCGATGATGTTGACCGTGTTCCAGGCTGGCCAACGTCTGGTACAAGGCTTGATCTAAGTGGCACATTTTTTACACATCAGTCACTGGTTTGTCAGACCCATGTTCGATTCTGTACATGGGACCGTCACAGTGCTGGAATACTGCTCTGATAGGCTTAAACGTATGCAATCTAAACACGAATATTTGTCTCAGAATTTATTGTCCCCAAACCATTTTGGGGAGGTCAGGTTCACTGACTTGGTTAACACATGTCATCGTATCCCAATTGCGTAGATCGATGCTCATGATGTCAATCACTGGGTTATCTAGTCTAGACTCGAATATTTACAGACACATTCATGTAGCCGGAACATTGCTGAATGCAACCCACAACAAACAAGCAACTGTGAAGGTCCTCGGAAAAGAGAGAAAGCATTTGGACGGTCACTCAAATAACTACCATGAACAGTAAAAACAAACGTAATAAGATAGTCGTCCTCGGATTTTGTGTTACACTTTGCAAACAAACACAATGTTTTGGAGGATAATTGTTGAAAATGATATTACAGGTGAAAATATACACCTGAATCTTTTGAATCTATACACAAAAAACTTAATTAAGCATCCTACGTATGTTTGCAATGATAGGGTTTCAACACGTACATAAAACTTCTCGAGGTGAACACGATGGAAAAACATGAGTTTTTGTACCCGTATGAACCTTTGACTCATAACCTCCATGTGACTGTATGACAGCCAGCACCCTCCTCCTCATACCCCCTGTCAACCTCCTGATCCTCTGAAGGGGCAGTCTACGCCATTCCTCGTGTAAAGCAACTTCCAATTGGGCTAGGTTCTGTACAGTAAAATCCCACGACAAACAATCGACAAACAATCAAGTCCCAGATAATCGCTATCAAGGGGCTTAAGATCATGATGGTCTCATTCAATCGTTGGTAAATGTCTTCTGATATGTCAGGGGTGCTGGTTAAAGCGTTGGCAGTTCGCCGAAGACCCGGGTTGAATCCCCACATGGGCATAATGCGTAAAACATTTCTGGTCTTCCCTTGTTGCATATTGCTAAAAGCGGCGTAAAACCAAACTCAGTCAGTCAGTCTTCAGTCAGAATATAGTCTTTATGGACTAAGCTTAGTGATTGTATTAGGACAAGCAAGGATACTTCATGTGATATTGACACACGTCAGGGCTGTATTCTAAGTCTGTAGGTATTTATTATCTTCGTTAATCATTAAAGTTATGGAGGTTCATTGTGGTTGAGGTGTTCATGTATGTCCAATATTTGAAAATATTTTGGCGTTAGTGTTTGCAGATGCTGCAACTTCTGTCGCATATTCTGCCAACTAGCTTTAAAATGTTACAAATGGAAATATTTTGTAGTTCAGCTTATAAGAAGGTAAATCTAAAAAAGACTAAGATCATGGTCTTCCGTAAATGGTGGTCCCTTACGTAAATATGGGAAATGGTATCTACAAGGTGAACAAATTGACTTCGTCTCCTTTCATAGATATTTGGGACTAGTTCTTACTCCAACGTTTATTTGTAGTAAAGCAGAGGTTTGTTTAAGAAGACACTCTAATAATGCAGAAATGTCCTCATACGGCAACACAACACACACACACACACACACACACACACACACACACCCACCCACCCCACCCCTCTCTGTCTCCCTTTCTCTTCGTACGTCATGTACTACAGAATGGGTTCTGGTCACACGTGAAACCTATCGCAGGGTACACAGCACGTTTCCTGTTTTTCATTCGTCATCCGGTAAGGTGTAGTCAGGTTTATAACACTCTGTTAAATACTTCAACGTCAAACAGAACTGTACGAACGTCATAACATTAAACACTTTCGTCACATATGTGACTCATTCTGCTTTAAATAACCCCTCAAATGGTAAACATGACATTAATCGCATTTCAAGTATATAAGAAACAAGAAGCTTTATTGTTATCTGAAATTAAATAAGAAAATGTACGTTTTCGTTGATTTTGAGGAGAACCCGTCAAGCTGGTACTATATATCAAGCTCACGGACACCAGTACACCCCAACTCGGGTGAACTCCCTCTTCACACCTTGCATAAATTGATGGCGTTGTATAACTTTCCACGGCGGGAGCTCAATAGAACGACCTGTATCCAGTAGAGCTACACCATAGAGCGTACGTAAAATGATACACAGTGTCCCACAATCGAATCGACACTTACCCCTACTCATATTATACAGAGATGGATTGCCTGAAAACCAGGCCGGGTTTAGCAGGGCCGGCCAAGGCGGTCCAATGGGGACCAATGATATTATTGGCTAATATCTCCATTATCGACAACAATCTATTAATGCAGCATAACTACACCCATG